AAAAAGAAAAATACAAACACCCGAAAATCCTAACTCCCCCTTCCCCTTTCATTTCTCTTTTCTCTCTCCTCTTTCCGCCTCTTTGGCTCTTTCCTCTTCCCTTCCTATCTGATTTCCTCTCATCCTTCATTCTATCTTCTTCTCTTTCTTCGCTGCTCTTTTCTCTTTCTCACTCTCGCACCGTCAACAACAACTACAAACCGCTATAATCGACAACAACACCGACAATGAAAAGGTTATTGATGGTTAAAACGAAGGTTTTCAAGTCAAATTCGACCATAAAAACTTTAGATCTACAGTTTTCATGGTAGAATTTGGCCTCTAAACCCATTTTCGAGGTGTTTTGTGGTCGAATTAAGGTACGTATCTTTTTTTTTTTTAATTAATTTGTTGTATTTTCGGTTTTTTGTTGTTGTTTTTTTCGGTTTTTTTTTTCCATTGATTTGTTGTTAGATATTTGATGTTTTTTGGGTTGTTTTTTTCGAAATTGTTGTTAGGTTTTGGGTTGTTGGTGTTTGTGGAGGTGGCGGTGGGGTGGGTACGGTGTTCGTGGAGGGAGGAGTGTGGGTACGGTGTTCGTGGGCCTGCCGATGTGGAATTTGGTGGGTGGGTGGTCGTGGAGGCGGGTGAATTAGGTGTTCGTGGCGGTGGGGGTTCCGTTGGTGTTTATGGTGGTTGGGGGAATCTGGGTTGTGGGGGGTACGGTGTTCTTGAGGGTGTTTGTGGTGGTGGTGGGTTGTTCTTTGCTTTTAATTTTTTTTAAGGAATTCCCCACCTTTTTGTAAGTGGGTTAGGAGGATTTGGGCTAGCTGTGGGGAGAATTTGGGTCTGGGTTTAGTGGTGGTAGGTACGTAGCGCTAGGTGGTTTGGGCTTAGGGTTAGAGTTAGAGGGTGGTGGAGTGGTGGTGAGCAGAGCTATTTTTTTTTATTTTTTTAATTGACTTTTCCGACGGAATTTTCCGTCGGAAATACTATTTCCGACGGTAAATTCCGTCGGAATATAACTCATACCGACGGAAGATTCCGTCGGAACATTGTGGCGGACTTTCCAAATAAGTCAAACTTGACTCCGACAGAACAAAATCCTTCGGAAATTCCGTTGGAACGGACCTTTTCGACGGAATTTCCTAGGAAATATCGCGAAATTCCTACAACATGTACTGTGACGGTGCCTTCCGACGGAATTCCGTCGGAAATGGGCATTTTTGACGGAATTTCAGGGTTTTTCGACGGATTTTTTCCGTCGTTGATTGGTTGTTTGCTAGTATTGTTGGTTGAAGAAACACAAAGTCCTCCCTTGCTTGAGATTCGAATAAGACAATGAGGAAATATTAGTGGATTGGTTTCTTTTCCTTCCATTGGAAAAGCAATGGATTTTTCTAGGTTTCATTACCTTTTCTTGTCTTGAATCCTGATTGTTCAGGGAATAGGCTGAATAATCTTCATCATTTTCTAAAGGAGCAAAAACATTGTGGGTATGGACTGAAATCTCTACCTCCATCTCGCTAGCATGACTTGTAAGGGTAAGCTAGTAATACCACTCTGGTCATCGCTACAAGAAACTAGGTCTTGCGCTAGGTTAACACATGACTCACTGATCTTTCCTTTTTTATTGTAGGTACAGTGAGTCATGATGACACTTTCATCAGCACCCCTCTTACCTACGAGCTTGCTTGCCTCACAACCTAAACCTTTCACTTTTTCTGCTTCACAGATGATGTCCTGATTTTTAGGCTCTAATAACCTAGCTGCCTTGTAAAGGTCCTTATAAGCCTCTACCAATTGATTAAGCTAGCTTGATCTCTGCTAAAGCCCTTATGTAAAGAGCATTAATGTCACTACAAAAAATAGCCATTTAGCAACAGATCAAATCCGTTGTTGGGTTATACTTTTTGTCGTTAAATATAGGTAGTGATAAATTTTGAAACGGAATTACTCCGTTGGCAAAACTATTGTCGCTAAATGAGACTAGCAATGATGTATTTGTTTTCCGTTGCTGAAACTAGCAACGATTTTTTATTTCGGTCGCTGGTTTTAGCAACGGATTTTTTTTTTGTTGCTAATATATGTTTTTTTTCTGTCGCTGGTATTAGCAACGGATTTTATTTTCCATAGCTGGTATTAGTAACGGATATTATTTTCTGTAGCTGAATGTAGCAAAGGATATATTATTTCCGTCGTTTACTTTAGAAACAGATTGTGCTTTCCGTTGCAGAGTTGAGAAATGGAAATTTGTTGAGCTTTTTTTTGAATTATAGTAGCATTATCTATTTTTTAACCACAAAAATGATAAATTGTTGGTGAATATATATAGAAAAGCAAACCACAATTTAGTTCCAAAGAAATTTGTATGTATCTTTCGAAATATAGGACACAACATTAACAATCTATTCTCAAATTTTCATACAAAGTTATGCAAATTTTCAAAACTTTATACAATATAAAATTAATACAAATTATGTTTACACTTATTTTACAAATTAAAAATATTGTTCTTCCTTCTAATTTTTTCATCTCTTGACACTAGTAGAAAAAGGAAAATGTGCACCGGTTCAAAACCGACTTTTCGCACCGGTTTTGAACCGGTTTAGATTTGAGGGATGCTAAAATGTGAGATTATTCGCACCGGTTCAGAATCGATGCGGAAAAATAGTTATTAGCACCGGTTAACCGGTGCGAATAATGCCTACAATTTTTTTGAAAAAAGTTATTCGCACCGGTTAACCGGTGCGAATAATGCCCAAAAAATTTAAAAAACAAAAATTATTTTTTTGCATTTTTTTCACCTATATGACAACACACAGTTGTATATAATCATAGTATACCTAAAACACATATCTTTTTATTAATAACTTGTAGTTTTACACTTTTCATCCAAAAAAATGAAAAATTACAAATTTAGAATGACCAAAATAGCAGAACAGCAGTAGCCCAGTAGCAGAGTAGCAGTAGCTGTAGAGCAGAACAAATACCCATACAAAGAAAACAATGAACTAATTAGTTGATTAATCTAAACCAAACAAAATCAAGAAAATCTTTGAAGTATCTCGAAGATTATTATAGAAATCCCCACACTTTATTCCAACACTAACAAGTCAGTACTTTCCTTGACGAAACTAGATTCTTGCTGATATGAAATCCACACAAATTTTCACAATTACTAAGCTTAAAATCCCAAAGACAATAATCAGTATAATCTGAAATGAAACAATGACAATAAGGATCAAGAATTAATTAGTTGAGCCAAAAACCCCACAACTAGACATGCTTGTGCTGTTTATTTATTTATTTTTTAAAATCAATCCACCTCTAAAGTATCAAACAAACTAAAACAACACATAAAAGTATGCCTAAATGATAAGGATAAAGGTATAGACAATTGTACCAAAGTTTCAACCATTTCATTCTAAGATACATATGACAAGTCTGTGAAGACTAAAATAGAAAGTGATTAATTACCCATTGCCCCTATTAATCATTCACATTCCAATGGGACAATTTAGGAAGTAATTAATTACCCATTGCCCCTTCTAATCATTCAAATTCTAATCGTATAAATAGCATAAACAATAATCAGATTCACAATAAAACCAACTCTATATAATTCAAGAAACTAAACAAGAAGACTAAATAGGAACTAAAGCAAAGGAAACAAAGAACAACTCTAAAAATTCATCCTAATACACAGAACCTCAATAAACACACCAAGAACAAAGAGCAATCAATCAAAAATCTCAGAACCTCAAGTTCGCATCGGTTCGGTTTTAAGAGGTCACGTGCCTCGCACGTGATCGGGTCAACGTCGGAAAATAGGGTCAAATCCTCTTTTCCGGCTAAAGGTGTGTCATTGCAAAAAAAAAAAATGATTAAGGTATGCCATTGCAAAAAAAAAAAAAAAAAAAAAAAAAATTATAAGGTGATTGCTTGCAAAAAATGTCTCATAAAAGGTGAATTTTTTGCCAAATTTCCAATTATTTTGTTAGAAATAAGTCAAAATAAATAGAACAAAATTTGCTCTTAATATACTATATACAAAGTAATACTCCGTACTACTTAGGAGTTTAAGATAGAATTTGTAGTATTATTAACTAACTTTGTTTGTGTCTGATTTGCATGTGGGACAAAATTTCGACGGGTTAGACATGGTAACAAGGCTCAATTATAGGCAGCTCCTACAGTCAAGAGAGGGCCATGGACAAACTCCAATTCATTATGCAGCAGGCGTTGACAATAGAGTATTGGAGGCTTTTTTAATTACTCAAGAATCTCATTATGCAGTGTACATTAAAGACAACCAGGGGCGGACGGCAGCTCATATAGCAGCGCAACAGAACAATGTTGATGGTTTGAAGCTTCTAATGAACCACTTTCCAGCCATTTGCGAAATAACAGATGATCAAGGCCGGAACATTGTCCACTATTCGGCCACTTTAGGCCATTTGGAAGCACTCGACTATTTTCTGAGTGAGATTCATTTTTCTGACCTTGTCAATAAAAAAGACAATGGGAAGGATACGCCTCTTCACCTGCTCGTCAAATCACTCGAGATGCTTCCTATTCCTATTAGGTCTTTAGAACGCTTAAGGAGCCTGATTCCTAAGCTATCTAAACTGCAAGTGATGAGTTATAATGATGTACATAAAACACCAGGTGATATAGCCAGTTCAATCAAATTCTCCAAATTAGAGGCTGAACGCAAGGTACTATACGTGTCTCCCCTTATACTACCTACTTGATCTAATTACTCTATGGAACTTCAAAAACTGCATACCAGTATTATTAGTGTTAAGCAACGCAAATAACCGGTCAAAGTTACCAAGTAGTGTTAATCGATAATAATCCCTTTTTGGTCGGTTAAAACTAGTATAAATTGAAAAAATCAGATAAAAAGAACATGACATCATTCTGCTTTTTATGGATTACATAGTAATGCAAAACTTAAGCGGATGGTTGAGGCCCAGGAATATGTTTTATAGTAATGAGAAAAAATATTATATCGCAGGATGCCCTGAGAGAAATCAGAATAATGGCCCCAAAAGGTGGGCGTGTAAAGCAATGGATACCACCTCTACAGGAGTACAAGGAAGATATCGAGGCTCAGCCAGAGGGCTATGACGAGTATGATTTGGGTACAGCAGCAGGAAGTCATTTGGTGGTTGCCGCTCTTATAGCAACAGTATCATTTACAGCAGGTCTCAGCGCGGTACCTGGTGGATTTTTTCCAGAGCCTAAAAAAGGGGAAGGAGGCACTGCCATCTTAAGCCACAGCATAGCATTTCAAGCGTTCCTCTACACGGACTGTTTCGCTTTAGTCTCTTCTCTTTCGGCCATTTTTTGGAACTTTTGGTTTGTTTTGACTGGGCAAAAAAACAGACACTTCCTTACTTTGGCCTTCAGAGCTACTCCCATTTCTATTTACATGCTGATGGCTGCATTTTTAACCGGCACATATTCTTTTTTCCAGCCTTCCCAAAAAACTGCTGTTGTTTTCGCGTTCTTGCCAGTGATTACCTTTAATATCAGCACGTTGATCAATTCCTGGAAAGCAATTCCTAGAAATCAACCAAGATGGCAGAATAACAAATTAAAATGGCGAGTTTTGCATGGACATGTATGTGTTATTCCACTTTCTTTCCTGTTTATTATATATTCACTATTTCATTCAGACTGATAACAATGTTTTTTTCACTTTATTCAGGTCACTTCCGCCACAACAATAATAGCTGCATCGTCTACACTTATGAAATGGTTTAAGTGGCAAGTCATGATTTTATTCATTATTATTGCTGTGGAATTTGCAATCATTTACTTTACAAACAAAACTTGAGTGATGCAATTCCAAGGCATCAATATTATCATTTTACTATTTTTATTTATTTTTGTTGAGTCATCTATTAATCACGAGGTTGAGTGGCGTCAATTCAAAAATTACGCGTGATTAATCGAATCATGATTGTAATAGAATTAGTAGATTGATAAGATATTATTTTCTAATATTATTAGAAGATATATTTTGTTATTTAGTATTTATATATTATATATTTTATTTAATCTTTTAGTTATCCTAACAGCATGAGATGTTTTCCTATAAATAATCTTTATTTTCATTAATGAAGGTCGAGAAATTTTGAGTTATATTTGATCAATTTGTATGAATTGTTTTAGCAAGAGAATTAGGTTAAAATCCCGTGCAATGCACGATTGTTATATATTTTTGACAATAATATTACAAAATACTACATAAAGTATATAAAAGATATTTAGAAATATTTCATTTGGGTATATATGGAATATGATTGTTAAACTGGAAAGAAAATATCATAAGGTATAAATAGTTTACTTATAGATTTTTGCAAAAAAAAAAAAAAAAAAAAAAAAGAAAAGAAAAGAGAGAAGCGAAAAAGGGCGGGAAAAATTTTTCATAAGGTAATGACAAGTGTCATGGAAGGATTCACTTTTAGTATAGGTTAATAGAATGCATATGATATTTGCTGAGACAGTTGCCAATTTAATCATTATTTAGTCTTGGTTAGATTAACTAACTTTATCTCTCCGAATTTCTTGAAATTCACTATTTCATTCAGATCGATCCCAATGATCTTTTCACTTTTTTTTTAAGTTACTTGCAACTATGAATGGAAACAGATCGGATTCGGGTCAGATGGAGCTTCATCCGTATCCACCCGCTCAACCTTATCCACCCGCAAAACCTATCACCCGCATCTGATCCATCCATCATCCGCGGGTGAAATGGATGGATCAAATGCTTAGTGGGTGATGAGTATAATTACTTATTTAATGAATGCATAAAAATTATTGTCGTTAATATTTCGTGTTATCCTTGTAAAAATAATAACAACATCAAATTTAATAATTTTTAGAAATAATTTATTTTAGAAACATTATTAAGTAGTACAATACTATAAATATAAGGTCACAAAAAATTTTGGAAAAAAATTCATTTAGTACTACAATAGTATATAAGGAGTATAATTTAATAAGTACATTACATCTAAATAATTTTTTTTAGAAATAATTTAATTAGTACAATAGATATAAGGTCAAAAAAAAAAATTGAAGAAAATATGATATATATCGGGTGGATGACGGATCGGGTGATAAACGGACGATGGATCGAGTGACGGATGAAGCGGAGCCCACCCGAAGCCATCCGATCCGTCACCCGCTTCATTAGTAACTCGCTCTTCATCCATTTAACACGAATTTTCGTCCATTTATTTATATCGGGCTTCACGGATGTCCATTTATAATTGTCCTACTAGCAGCCCAACAGATTGAATAAATTTATCATCTACAATTCTCTCATGGTTATTCTATTCATTCGTAAGTTTACTCTTTGTACTTGGTGTTGGTAAAATTACCTGCTAATTCCAATAAATAAAATAGGATGAAAAGAAAAAAAAAATACTTAGGAGAGGAATTGGGTTTTTAAAAGGAACGGATTTTTAAAAAAAAGTCCTCAAGAATAGCCTACCTTTCTATATAAATATACTAAATTGGGAGGTGTGCACACTTAAGATCTAGAGAGGAATTGGGATTTTAATAGGAACGAATTTTATCACTTGAAATTTTATTTGAATTATTGAGTTATTGGAATTATTTGAAAATTGGTTTGGAGTTATGAGTTTGGAAGTATTGAAATAAATGTGGAGTTTCCATGACATGTTTTAAAAGCATGTTTGCTAATAAATTAAGTTTAGTTATCTTGCACTTGAATGTACTTGACATATTTTGCTAATTTGTATTTCCTATTTGTTTTTGTTCGCCCCTGTTTACCTTATTGGTAAGCATTGATGGACATTTCAGGTGGAGTCTTAATTAAGCATATGAGAGTCCCGAGATTTGCTTCACCTAGACTAGGGAATGTTGGTTTTTGTTTTTTATTATGAGTACGCATGACAATGGTTATTATTATTAACTATTAATAATAGAAAGCTGAGTTTTTCCGCTACAAGTTTGTTATTGAGTTAAGTATTTTTAAATAGCCTTGCGGTAATACGCCTAAGTCTATCTCTACGGTATAATTATACGTATTATATTAATAATTTTGTAAAGGGAGATTTTGGGGTGTTACAGACCATTCAAGACGGCTGCATAAAAAGTCTTGTTAGTTCCAGGCTTCAATTCCAGCTTCAAATGCAACTACCATAAATAAAATGTTAAATAGTTCTGCCTTTAATTTGGAGGTAAACTCTTCCCATGCAGTACCAGCAAGTCTCACGAATTGAAGAGGTACTCTCTGTTTAGTTTAAGTCAAGCAAAAATTAGTTCACAGACATACAAAATATATATCATCAGTTTTTTGGGTAATTCAGGGTGCTCGACAGAATCGGCTATTTTGCTCTCCAACACGATTTGTTTCTGCAATGACTCAACTTCCCGAGATTCAATTACTTTCACCCTCAATACAGTTTTGCAGCGACGAACAAAGTTGTTGGCACACCATGGTAATCAGATATGTGATCATTCCTAGGTTTTGTGAATGAGAATATTTTTTTTTTATACGGTAATATACAGGGTGCCCCACTGCCCCTCCTATCACAATTTGTGAGTGAGGATGCGATGCGAGACTATAAGAGTCTCTAGAGGTGATTGCTTTTTTCATGAAGTTGTAGAAGATGAGAGTGTGGTGATGAAATTTATTGGAATGGGGCTCAACCTGGGGGCTTCACTATGAGGTCTGCTATCAACATCTAGCGGAATACGATATATCCTAGTGCTCAGTGGCGGACCCACATGTAGTCATTGTGGGTCCGGTGACACACTATTATTTTTGAAAAAAAAAATTAAACAATTAGTCACGCCTCTTTCTCCTCCCAAAGACCCAGAAAGCCCTAATTCCCGAAAAAACAACAAAACACGCTTCCCCTCTCTCTCTCTCCTCCATTGAAGCATCAAGCATACTCGCAATTCGCAAAGACTCCATTGAAGAGGCTTTTGAGCTTTTTCTCCTCCACCGAAGCAATCTCAAAGGTTAGATATTCTTTTTCTGTAATTATTGACCTAATTTAATTAATTAATTGTCAGATTTTGTCATTATATACTCAATTTAGGGTTCTTCGAATTTTGATAATTGCGGGTTGATAATTGATTCAATCATTCGAATTTTGATAATTGTGGGTTGATAAATGAGTCAATCGTTCGAATTTTGATAATTGAGTCAATCGAATTTCACTGATTGTGGGTTGATAATTGCAGGGTTTGGCAGTTGGCACTCGAAATTCTCCATTGAAGGCTTGAAGCAGGCAATTGGCTTCGTACTTTCAGAGGCTCTGAGTCTGAGCTTTCGCTCCTCCATTGAAGCAGCCTACTGCCTACAGGTTAGATCTTGAATTCTTGACAATCTAGTGTAGACGTGTAGTAGTGTACAACTATTGTGTATTTGTGTAATTTGTTTTTGTTAATCGTGTATTTAATTGTAGTGCTATTGTGTATTTGTGTAAATGTGTAATTCAGTATATACCTATTTTAGGGAATTAGGGTGGTTTCGGTGGTGGTGCAGCCAGCAAGGGTATTGCAGATTTTTGTTGTGGTGCTATATCGTTTAATATTAGTAATCGTTTATGATAAAAATTGTGGTGTATTTAGCCTAAAATTGGGATCATTGTATATTTAGAGTATAAGATTTGGGACATAATTGGCTTTTTATTATTTACACAAGACAAGAAACTTGGAGATAATAATTCAACTTCCATTATAATTCTTCCTGTTTTGGAATAATCTGTTTGTGATTTCTCAGAGTAATCCAATGTCAGACACACAATTTGGTGCCGCAATGTCAATTTTACTTGGTTTGGCACCACCACATATGCTTTTAACTGCTAGTTCATCCAAGGTTTGCAGAACCAATCGCTTTTGATTTAGGTATGTCTTTTTTATTGTCTTAGTAAACTGAACTAGTGCAAATAGGTAGTGATTATGCGGGCTGGGTGTCGTGTAGTGGCTCAAAACAAGATGGAAAGATTGTGTGGACTGCTTTATGATGCATGTCAGATATGCAGCAGAGCAAGGTTTAGGCTCCTTGTGGCTCGTATATTGAGTTTGAAAAGAATACGGTTGGAAGGAGATGCAATTTCTGTGTTTTTTAGGTTAATTCTAGCACTAGAACTGCTGTTAGAAGTTCTGTGAACTACATCGTGCAGGGAGGGGGAGGGGGTGGTTGTCGGGGCTGAGCTGGGCCCTGGCGAAATTGGGCGAAATTGGTTGTGGGATTAGTTATCAAAGAGGCCAACTTTACCTATATTTTGCTCCAAGTGACAAACCCTTTACACTCCTTGTTGATTTAGGCATGTTTTATAACCTGTTGAAGTTGATTTGTTGGTAGAAAAAAAGTAATTACAGAGTTATTATTTTTTGAACATTCACTTGAAAATTTCATTGTTGATGTTCGAAATGATGAGAGATTTTGGAATTTGAAAAGTCTAAGTGAACTTTATACGAAACTTGATGAGACGGGAAAGTTTGAAACTCATGATAAAGTCTACTTACTTTTGAAGTTAGTGTTGATTCTTCCCGTTGCAACGACAAGTGTAGAAAGAGTATTTTCTGGAACGACGCAAGTAAAAGATAAATTGCGTAATAGCATGGGAGATCAAATGTTGAATGATTGTTTGATTACTTATCTAGAAAAAGATTTGTTTTACAATGTTAGCATGGATGATATTGTACATCGTTATCAAAACATGAAAACTCGTCGAGAGCAATTGTAATAAAATTAGTACTTTTTTAGTTGTAGTATGAATTTGCATTACTTTATGAAATGAACTTTTTTTTGTATTTTTTTTGTTCATTATTCAATCTTTGACTATTTTTTGATATTTTATGCGGTCGGTGGACGATGATGAGACAACCTATTATTTAAATCCTGGATCCGCCACTACTAGTGCTGATCAGAAAAGACTTTGGAAAACTATTTGGCGTGTGAATGTTCCTCAACGTATTCGTATGTTCATGTGGCTGGCAGTGCAAGATAGGCTCATGACAAACAGGAATCGATTTATTCGCAAGCTTGTTAGTGATCCTAGATGCCAAGTGTGTGGTGCAAACAAGGAATCTTCAAGCCACATGTAATACCCCGTATTTTTAAGTTGTATTTTTTAATTAATTAATTATTATTTTTTAAAAAGGGTATTTTAGTAAATTTTTAGTAAATCTATTAACTAATACTAAGACAAAACATGGTGACATTATCTTTCTCTAAATTTGTACACATGTCGCTTCCTCATAAAAAAAATTCCCTCCTAAATTCTTTAATAACATCATCTCTACTTTTTTTATTTTTTTTTATAGCTGAACTACTCTATTTATATTAATTTGAAAACTATTTATGAATTTTGACTAAAAAATCAAATAGATGCTTCTATAAACTACTATACAAACTGTTAATTGCTGGAAGCTAAAAGAATAAATTTGATGACATTGGTGCTAATTATATTTTTTTTGAAGCATTGGTGCTAATTATATAATATGTATTTTTTTCTTTAAAATTTCATTAATATGAATTCCTTAAATATTTTCTTTTTGAGTATTTCAATTATTAATTGTAAATAATGTGGTTCATATATATCCTTAAATGTAAATTATTTTTATATCTAATTATAATCTTTACATACAATATAATGCAACAGAACATAAATTATAAGAAAGATCAATTCTAACCGTGCATCAAGCGGGGATAACCTAGTTATTTTACTATTTAAATTTTGGAGCCAAAATGATATTTGAATTTTGGCGACAAAAATACTTTTAGAACTCAATTAATGTATATAAAATTCGGTTTTTATAAAATATTAAATGGATAATTAATTTTTTTCCAAAATCCTATTCTTTTCTAGAAATAGAGTTATATTGAAGGAGTTATGGCCTCTGCAAGTTCTATCTATTCTTTCCAACGTGAATTCAATTATCTTTAATCTAATTTCTTTATTTTCTTCATGGTTAGTTTTCTAAAATATAAATACATATTTCAAAGTTATAATTTTATATTAAAGTATTATTTCTTAAAGAGTTTTGTAGTCCATGCACATATAGATTTGAGTTCATGTCTAAAGATGTTGTGATAACCCTATAGTTATATTAATTGTAAGGTGCATGTATTCATGATTGAACATTGAAAGTGCAAAGTGTTGATTTGAGATTAAGAATCAAGGTACATTTAGGTGGCTAGATACTTTATTAAAAGTGTTTTGATTTGATCACATGTTTTATGTGAATTGAATAATGTTTGAATTAAATTGGGTATTATTATTTATGAAATAAAGTATGTTTGAAGAATTGATTTTAAATATGTGTTAATAAATATATTTGAAGGATTGATTTTAATATTATGTTTTGAATGGGTTAAATTACTTATCATGTTTAAATAAAGGAATTGATTTGAAAAGCTTGTTGAATTAAATGAAAGGTTTTGATTTTGAAAGAAAGAGTTATTGATTTTTGAAAAGTTATTAATGTGAGATTTAATTCTCAAATATTTATTAATGGTTTATTTTGAAAGCATGTTAAATTGAATAAAAAGGAGTTTTTGAGTTAACCTATTATAAAGGTTGATTTATTGATTTAATTAAAGGACGAGTTAATGAGAAATTATTAAATTATTTATTAAAGCTTTACAAGCATGATTATATTAATCCCACTATGAAGATTTGGTTTATAAGACTTTGGACTTTGTATGACAGGGTGTTTCGCTCAAATATATATTCATTCAAAACAAAGATACTAACTTGGGGGGTGTGCACACTTAGGAGAGGAATTTGGTTTTAAAAAGAGGAATTGATTTTATAAATCAATATTATTGAATTATTGGAATTGTTTTTAGAATCTTAAGAAATTGTTTTGGAATAATGATGTTTTGGAATTATTGAAATAAATATTGGAATTTCCATGATTGGTTTTAAAGCATGTTTGCTAATAAATTGAGTTACTTATCTTGCACTACTTAAATGTACTTGACATATTTTGCTAATTTGTATTTCCTATTTGTTTTGGTTCGCCCTGTTTACCTCAATGGTAAGCAATGTTGACTATTCCAGGTGGAGTCATGATTGAGCATATGGGAGTCTTGGGATTCACTTTACCTAGTTTAGGGATGTTAGTTGTTTTTGTCTTTATTATTGAATACTCATAACAATGGTTTCTATTTATAAGTATTTATAAAAGAAGAATTGAGTTTTCCTCTGCAAATTATTTATTGATTTAAATTTTAAAGCAGCCTTGTGTAATCACGCGGCAATAATACGCCTAAGTCTATCTCTATGGTATAATTATATGTATTATATTAGTATTTCTGTAGAGGGAGATTTGGGAGTGTTACACCACATTTTGAGGGAGTGCCCAAGTGCTACGGTAGTTTTGATATGGATTTTAATGGATATAACCTTCAATTGCAATAGAAAGGTTTGGAATCTTGAGTCTCGGTCAAGAAATACTAAGCAATACGAGCTTAAAACCTAAACTAGGCCAAGAATACCCAAGCACAAGCTTACTTAAAACTTTATAGATTCCAAATCAATCAATCATGCTTTTCGTTAAACACCATCACGTATTTATAAGCTAATAATTAGCTTAAAAATCATGTAGAACAAATTCTAATCTAACTAGGAAACTTACCCTAACTTGTAAAGATAATTTTTGCAAATATAATCTTTAAAATAAGTTTATCTTCTACTAACCATATTAAACTAACAAAAATATCCTAATAAATTTGTTCACCTAATAATAAAATTAAAAATAACATAAAAATAATTAAAATAACAATATTGATGCCTTGGAACCACATCATACTCCCCCTCTTGAAAAAACTTGTCCCAAGTTTTAGCAAAGCATGGAACCAAGATATCATCCAAATTAATCGAACACGAACTAAAAGAATATGTCTCCATCCAAACACGCCATGCTTATAACCTCTACTACAAATAGGCCTAATTCCGACGGACTGTTTCTGACGAACAAGTATTTCTGTCGGAAAAATCAGAAATTCCGACAGAATAAAAATCCGTAGGAAATTTAGGCTTTTCGATGGAATATTCCGTTGGAACATTGAATTTCCAACGGAAATAATATCCGTCGAAAGTTTCCGACAGAATAATCCGTCGGAACAGTAATTTTCCTACGGAAATCAAATCCGTCGGAAATTTCCGAAGGATTTTACACCATTTCCGACGGAATAATGATTTAAAAAAAATAACCAAAAAACCCTAAAACACGTTTCCCTTCTTCAATCCTCATTTCTCTTTCTCTCTTCCTTCTGTGCGCCTCTTTTTACCCCCTTCTTTCCTCATTTCTCTTTCTCTCTCCTCTCCTCCCTCATTTCTCTTTCTCTCTCCTCTCCTCTTTCCTCTTCTTTTTCTCTCTCTTCTCTTTCCTCTTCTCTTTCCATCAACGAACCACTGCGCGTCAACAAAACCTTTTGTATAAGGTTCGAAATGGTGAATTGAAAACCCAGGACTCAAGCGTTTTCGATCTCGGGTTTTGCGCGAAAGTCTCATAAAATCAGTCATCGTTGCTGCGCTTCCTGAATGGAATCCAGCCTTGCCCGAGCCTTACCCAACCGGAAGCAAACGAAAAAGGGGAAGCCGGGAACGTAACCTCTTCAGAATCTTCCTAGGCGCATTCATTAACAACCACCGTCAACCAACATCAACAACAACAACGGCGTAACAACCACCGTCACCCACTCTCAAGGTTTTTATTTTTGTAGATCTAGTTTTAATTTAAGTTAGATTGTAGATTTACTTAGTTTTTTTATGTAATTGTAATGTTGATTATAAATTTGATTAGATAATTGTATTTCCTTTAATTTTTAATGTATAATTATCGTTCTTTTTTAATTTTTATATGAAATTCTAATTAAATATGTAAATCTACTGGTTTTGATTTGTTTGTGTTGTATTTTTCGACTTTTTTGGTTTAATTTTCGTAATTTGTTTCGATTTTTTTTTACGAACTTAGTGGTTAATTTTGTTTTCGATATATTTTTTTTTTGGGTGAACAGTGGTGGGGCTGGCGGGGAGTGGCGGGGCTGGATGGGAGTGGTGGTGGTTAAAGGGGAGGTTAGGTGGTGGGGTTAAGGGTCGTTTGAGGTTAGTGCTGGAGGAGTGGTGAGTGGTGGGGGCTGGTGGTGATGGTTAAGGGGGAGGTTAGGTGGTGGGGTGGTGATGGTGAGTGGTGGGGGGCTTTTTTTATTTTCTGGGTTAGATTTTCCGTCGGAATTTTCCGGCGGATTTGTATTCCGTCGGAAAGTTCCGACGGACTTTCCGGTGGCCGGAATAGCTCTTCCTACGAAAAGATTCCGTCGGAAAACACTTTTCCGACGGAATTTCCGTCGAAAAAGGTCGTTTTTCCTACACATAGGTTTACGACGACCTGTTCCGACGGAATTTCAGGATATTCCGAGGGATTATTTCCGTCGTTGATTGGCTTATTTCTTGTAGCGAACTTACACCATTGAATGCACCACAAACTTCAATCGAATGCTACAAAAATTTAATTGATGACACATCTTTGTCAATGCAATCAATATAATGGAAATAATATGTGAAAATATTTGTATCCCAATTATCACCGTAAAATGAAGTTGTAGAAATTTGACTTTTTTATTCCAACTTAGATACCACAAATGTAACCTCCTCGTCAATGAAACTAGACATAAATATACTTTTGTACTCCATAATTTCTTTTTCTTCTACTAGTTGTTCATGAGATTGCTCTAAAATTGGATTTGTAAGATTATCACTCGGTAAAGATACAATCTTTTCCTCGTATATAGCCTCAACAATAGGTTGCTCTACTTTCTCCTTCTCACAAGACATATCTTGTAAGACACGTCTCACATCACGTATTTGAAAAGGTGCACCAATTCTATCAAAACATGCATTCATTTTCTTAATTTCCTCCATAAGTGCTTCAAACAAACTTTGATTCTCCATGTTTGAGTGGATGAGAAAACACACAAAATCAGTCCAGAAATTGAACGTCTGAAATTTTGTATGATGATATCCCTATATGTCTAAAATACTCGACCAAAAATATCATCAAAAAATTCCAAGCCAAGTGGTCACAGTTTATTTTATCCCCAACACTTTCAGATTAGTTCGATTTTTGACCAGTTGTCAAAAATGAACCCAGTTTAATAGCTATGCTCCTCGAAAAATTCTCAAATTTTGCAGGTGTAAACTAGATAATAATTTAACCAATTTGAAAAAAAAAGAATCACCTCAAAATCTTTAGAATCAAAGGAGAACCAAGTCAATCAATATGACCTTTGGAACTGAGGTTTTTGACACGATTTGTCAAACTCACCCCTCGTCAAACAACAGTAATTCCAATTTGATATGGATTTTAATGGATATTATAACCTTCAATCGCAGTTGAAAGGTTTGAAATCTTGAGTCTTGGTCAAGAAACACTAAGCAACACGAGCTTAAAACCTAAACTAGGCAAAGAATACACAAGCATAAGCTTATGTAAAACTTTATAAATTTCAAATCAATCAATCATGCTTTTCGTTAAACACCATCAGGTATTTATAAGCTAAATAAGTAGCCTAAAAATCGTGTAGAACAAATTCTAATCTAACTAGGAAACTTCCCCTAACTTGTAAAGATAACGTACATTTTGCAAATATAATCTTTAAAGTTAAACTTATCTTCTACTTTAATAAATTCGATCACTTAATAATAAAATTAAGAATAACATAAAAATAATTAAAATAACAATAAGTGGCTTTTGTTTTGACTAGGGTAGGTGATGTTCGAAGAGCTCTGGAAGGCCTGATGTCTCTTGCGGGTTCAAGGAAGCAGCACAGGGTGGAGATATTAATTAGGTGGGAATACCGAACCTTTGGATGGGTTCGTTTGAACACGGATAGAGCCTCCAAAGGCAATCCAGGAAGAGCAGGGGGCGGGGGATTTGATCAGAGATCATAATGGTACAGTGTTTGAGATATATGCTTTGAACTATGGTATTTGTTCTAACACTAAAGCTGAACTTTTTAGGGTTCTTATAGGGCTGGCTATAGCTTGGAATGGTGGCCACCGAAGAGTGAATTTGTCTGTTCGACTCGGAGGTGGTTGTTCGTATGTTGTCAAAGGAAGTCCCTCTTCACGCTCCTTATATTCATATCATCCGGAAATGTCAATCTCTTCTCTTGAGATAGGATTGGGGAGTGTCTAAAGGGCACAATTATAGAATGGTGTCAACTATGATCAAAATTCAAAATGCGGTGATTTTTGAAGTGGTCCTGAGGGATCTTTGTGTCGTTTTATTGAATGATTTGAGTGGAGTGGCTCGGACTAGGCTTATATTATCTAATTGTTAGAAGACCAACTCAACCAAAAGTTTAAGCTAATGGTTGAGGCCTAGGAACAGTTTATATATTCTATCACCCCCTCTTACATGAGAGCCCATTGGATTTGAAGTGTGGATATAACATTTGCCCCACCATACCCAACGTTTAATATTCCACTTGGGTGTAGGAGCTTGGTCGTGGAGTCTTTTATTGCTTTTTAGTTTTTTCTTCCTTTGTTTTTCTGTTTTTCATTTAGGGGTCGTTTGGTTCGCTGGAATGGGGAAAGGGAATGGGAATGATTCTCTTTGTTAGTATTTGTTTTCACTTATTTGTCATTCTCATTCCCCCATTTTATTTTTGGGTTTACCCAAAAATCTCCTAAACCCATTCTCCACCCCCCTACCTTTTGCATTCTCATTCCCCAACCACCAGTCCACCACTATACCCTATCAACTGGATGCACCTTGCCGGAACTCACTTCACTTCGCCGGAACTCACTTCACCTCGCCAGACCCTCGCCACCCTTCGTCCGACCCTCGCTGCCCTTCGCTGACCACCCCATCAACCCCAGCCCTTCACTGACCACCAACCACCACCATCAATGTCCTCCTTTTCCCCTCCTCCCGGAAACCACCAAAAATCCCATTTCCCTTACCCTTAAACCACTAGATAACCCACCCATCCTACCTCCCTTTTCCCAAAACCACAAGAAAACTGACCCACCACCTCACTCGTCCTTCAAAAATCACCGCACCCACCACTCCATCCCCACACCCGCACCACACACGTCGATGAACACCACCTCCAGCACACCTCGCCATTCCCTCAAGAATCGTCGTTGCTCTTGACGAGGTCAAGGTGGGAGTTCAAAGGAAAGAGATGGTCGGCGGAGGGCTACGTTTGTGAAGGGGGTCGCCGTAGTGGTGGCTTTCGGTGGGTTTCGTCTTTGTGGTGGCGTGGGTTTGAATTTGGGTTCGTGGAGGTCTGGCTTCTTGGGGTGGATGTTGGTTGGGCAGTGGGGTGGCTGGAGAAGGTTGAAAAAAATGAAGGATAGGTGTTGTGGTGGTGATGTGGTGGTGCAATGGTGGTGTGATTCCCATTCTTTTTTTGTAAACAAACAACATGCTTAATTTTGAGGGTTTCATTCCATTCTCCTCCATTCCCTTTCTGCATTTCATTCCGATTCCCCTTTGCGAACCAAACGACCCCTTAGTTTGTTTGTATATCATTATTTCTGGGGCTCGCCCCTCTTCAGCATCCAAAAAAAAAAAAATTGGAAGTTAATAAACCGTACCATATATATTAGGGGCATACTAGGCCAGCCCATAGAAGTGATATAAATAATTATTATTAGAATGTGACACCTCATTGATATCAATCAAAGATTGACTACATTAAGAATCCTTAAATACTTTTTGTGTCAAAAAATAAATAAAAATACTTTGACAAAATTATCACATCACATTGACTAATTATATCCTGTGTATCATTTTTACTTATCTTTTATAACTTTTATTAGAATCTCATGAGATACATTAATCTGTATATATAAGCTCACCACATTCATTCATAAAATTAATAGGTTTTTAAAATTAAGTTTACGGCTTAATGTTCGTAATTAAGCCTAAAAAAGCAATGGAGTCCATCCCAGGTTCAAGGAACACGATGAAAATTTGTCTTTTGTTCATCCTCTTTTCAATTTTTAATTCTACTTTTGCAGCAAAACAGGCATGTAAAGTTGTTATGTTTTGATTTTTGATATCTAGAACATGATACTATATGAGTATTATTTATATTGATTTTATTTTATCCTATTGTTGAATTTAGTCTTATGTCGTGTATATGGGAGCACATACTCATGGTCCAGACGTTACACAACAAGATTTGGAATTGGTAGAGAATTCTCATCATAATTTTCTGGCTTCATTTGTTGGAAGGTAATTAATCGATAATAATTGTATAATTTGATTTTATATATTGTTTTGTCGTCGGATTACAAAAATATCGTATTTAATTATGACATTGTAATTTTTATTGAAATGTGCTATATAGTCAAGACAAAGCAAAGGAAGCAATATTTTACTCATACCAGATGAATATTAATGGTTTTGCGGCAATTCTTGATGATGAGCAAGCAGCAGAGATTGCAAGTAATAATTTGATTTTTCATACTACAACATAATTTTAAATTCATTTTCATGCAATTTTTTATTTTTAAAAAATAACCTAAATTACGATTGAACCATGATAGGTTCATTGAATTCGTGCAAGCAAAAGTATAGAATGGACCGGATGGAGTATTTTTATTTTATTTTTTATTTTTTGTTTTTTAAAGTAAAGTTTACAAATAAATTTAATGTTGATTATCATATTCAATTCGTCTGTAATTACAAAACATAATCATACATATACAATGTTTACAAACCTTGAAACTTGACAAGTTTAGGGCAAAATGCTTAATAGCATGACCATTCATTATTATTGATCATTAATAGACTATAAAGACTTTCTAAACATCTTACACTTCTTAAAAGGTACGGAGTATTTTGTACTCCGTATTATTCTCATATTATTATTCCGTACTCAATTGTGCTCTAATTTAATTAGCACGAACAATAATTTAACAATATTTAATGCTTATTTTTATTATCCTAAATACAATCACAAGATTTATACAAGTACTACATATGAGAAATATATTACAATACCATATTTTCCTATATTCCTAATAAAACTTAAACTTAATAATATACCTGTTATATTGAGATACATTATGCATACTTAGATGAATTATGAATTTTAGGCCTTAGTATTGCTGGTTATTTCATTTAATTATATAAGGTGGTTACAAAGAATAGATAATGTTGATAAGGAAATTAAAATGTAATAAGGTTATAATATGTTTAATTTTGTAAGAATAACATTGGTTTAATTTGGTTGTTTTGAAAATGAATCAGAACACCCGGGAGTTGTTTCTGTGTTCCCGAATAAAGCGAGGAAATTACAAACAACAAGGTCTTGGGATTTTATGTTGCTTGAAAACAATGGTGAAATCCATTCGGATTCAGCGTGGAAAAAGGCTAGATTTGGGGAAGATACTATCATTGCAAACCTTGACACTGGTATTTGCTTAAACTCATTTGAGTTTGTCAATAATTTTGTCTTTCTACTGTTATATTTGAGACCTTGTTTGATTCATCTCAATATATAGTTTTTGATAATATGTTATAATATGAATTTGAATATTTTTATCTTAATGTGCGCATTAAGAATTTTACAAAAAGTGAAACAAAGCAATAAAATTGATGTGAATTCCTCTAATTTCTTCCATAAATCCATATATGTTTAATATCTATAAAAGATAATTAAGACATTTATATTCAAAATTGTTATTGACAAATGTGAAAGTCAAAATTGTACAATTATATCTAAACGGAAGAAGTAGATTAATTATAAGATTGATGTGAATTCCTCTAGTTTCTTCGATAAATCCATATATGTTTACCTCATATGTTAAGTTAATAGTGTATTTTGAACTAATCAAAATTTCAAATTAGAGGAATAATATTTTGTTATCAATTTTTTAACTTACTAGATCTTCTGAACATTGTAACATCCTTGGAATAGTATTAGTAAAACATCCTTGGAATAGTTCCAACTTCCAAGGTATATATAGTTTCAAATAAAATATCAAACTATTTTTAATTTATATTAACTAAATTTTAAATATATGCGTCGACAAACATGAACATTGTAACATGAAACTCCATTTTTTTACAATTGTCTTTTCAAATCATATTATTAACTAAAAAGCACATTGTAATATCAAATTAAAGTTTAGTTGAAAAAAATAAATCATGCTTTCTCTTTTACAAACTTACTTAACTCTCTTTCATATAATGAATGAATAGGGGTTTGGCCTGAATCAAAGAGCTTTAGTGATGAAGGATATGGACCTGTTCCTTCCAGATGGAAAGGTGGTTGTGACAGTGAGAATGACGGTGTCCGTTGCAATAGGTTCGTTACATTTCTATGATTGTACACATTTTGACAAAGAATACACGCAAAATATTCTCCTCTAAGGGTTAGGATATTCGAGTATATACTCTTACTCATTGTATATTACTAGGGACTAATTGTGTATACATCACCTTGTAGGAAGCTTATTGGAGCAAGGTATTTTGACAGAGGATTCATTGCCGCTGGGGGGAATGTCACGGAAGCATTAAGCTCTCCACGTGATGTCGCTGGCCACGGAACTCACACGCTGTCAACGGCTGGTGGCAACTTTGTTCCAGGAGCATCCGTCTTAGGCTTAGTCAATGGAACAGCTAAAGGTGGATCACCAAAGGCGCGAGTAGCTGCTTACAAGATTTGCTGGGGTAACTGCTACGATGCTGATTTACTAGCAGGCTTTGATATGGCTATTCATGATGGTGTTGATGTCCTGTCTATCTCGGTTGGTGGAGATGCTGGAGATTATTTCAGTGATGCAATTGCCATTGGATCCTTTCATGCTATTCAAAGTGGTATCGTCGTGGTTTGTTCTGCTGGTAATTCTGGTCCTGATGTAGCGTCTGTTTCAAATGTTGCACCATGGATTGTTACTGTTGGAGCAAGTACTATGGATAGGGAGTTTCAAGCTTTTGCTGAGCTTCGAAATGGGCAGAGATTTAAGGTATCAGTCTGCATCTTTAACAAATTATATTAGCTAATCAGTCTTATGATCTTAGAAGATTGTCTGTTTTTCTCAAAGTTTTATACTGTATACAGGGTTCGAGCTTATCAAAACCTTTGCCAGATGACAAGCTTTATCCACTCATATCTGGTGCTCAGGCGAAAACTGCCAATGCATCTGCTGCAGACGCGTAATTTTAATCCTTTCTTTACCTTCAAAGCTTGTTCTAACTGTGATATGTTGTAAATCTGATATTAGTCTATTTCTGCAGTATGCTCTGCCTGGCAGGCACATTGGATAAAACTAAAGTACAGGGAAAAATCGTGGCATGTCTTCGTGGTGGTAATGCAAGAGTGGCAAAAGGCGTGCAAGCATTACTTGCTGGAGCTGCAGGGATGATCCTTTGCAATGACAAAGGTAGCGGCAATGAGATTATAGCTGATCTTCATGTCCTTCCAGCAACACAACTAACCTATACAGATGGGGCTGCTGTTTTGGCCTATATCAATTCAACTGCGTACGTATTTAATTGTTTGTTCATCCATTTCCTATTGCTACAAAATCATTCAATTTAATTCTTTAGCTAATCCAAATGTAAAAATTTGTTGACAGTGAGCCTTATGGTTACATCACTCATCCAGCAGTTGTTCTAAATACCAAGCCAGCTCCTTATATGGCTGCCTTTTCATCCAGAGGTCCAAATCCTGTTACACCTGAGATTTTAAAAGTAAGTTGTCGTCATTTGAAATCTTCAGTCTGATTGAAATTGGACATATGCATAGTAATTTATATCCTCGGCTTTAATTTTACTTTTGGTTGAAATGTTACTTGGACTCGGTTATAGGTGTCTAACAATGACACGAGTTTTAAGTGTCATACACCATTTGATATGCCATGTATATTTTTAATAAATTGAAGTGTCAAGTATTCAATTTCCATACCCATATCAAAGTGTCGAAGAAGTAATGACGTTCTTGTGCTCTGCAGCCTGATATCACAGCACCAGGAGTGAATGTCTTAGCTGCATACTCTGAAGCAGTTAGTCCAACAGAAGAACCATGGGATAAGCGTAAAGTTTCCTTTATGTTAGACTCGGGTACTTCTATGTCTTGCCCTCATATATCTGGGGTTGCTGGCCTTCTCAAAACTCTTCACCCCACTTGGAGCCCTGCTGCAATAAGATCTGCTATAATGACTACCGGTAACTAACCCTACAACTCATTTATTATATATGAAACAATTCTCGATTCTGAGCTGTTACTTTTTATGTTGTTGCAGCGAGAGTCAAAGATAACACAGAGAAGCCAATGCTGGATGCATCTTTCACTAGAGCCGACCCATTCGCCTATGGAGCAGGACATGTTAGACCAAACCGTGCCATGGATCCTGGGCTAGTCTATGACTTAACCACACGCGATTATTTAGAGTTCCTTTGCTCACTTGGATATAACCAAACAATGATCCAGTCTTTTGATCCTTCCTACAAATGTCAAGCATCAAACACTACAAATAGTGGCCTTTTGAACTTCAACTACCCTTCAATCACAGTGCCTAAACTTTCTGGCTCAGTCACTGTCACTCGAACAGTTAAGAATGTGGCAGAGGCTTCAACTTATGAAGCTCGTGTGAACCAACCACAGGGCGTTGAGGTTACTGTGGAACCGAAGTCTTTGCAGTTTACGAAAGCTGGAGAAGAGAAGAGTTATAAGTTGACCTTAACAGCTCAAGCTGGTGGCTTGCCTGCAGGATACGTTTTCGGAGAGTTGATATGGTCAGATGGAAATCACTTTGTTAGGAGCCCCATTGTTGTTGCTGCAACAGCTGCTGCTGCTCCTCCTGCTACTAATAAATCAAACTTTGCAAACTAGTTCATTTATTTATATCCTCTAGGATATTATACAGAGTATTTCGTATGATTACATTGTTAAATATTTTTGGTGTACATTTGTTTTAGACAATTACATCAATTTTATTGTAATTTCTTAGAAGAAATTAGAAATGATACAATTGATCAAATAATGCGAAATATTTCTTGAACAAAAATTGTCACCTTTTCTTAAATAATACATGCAATAAAGTATGATTAATTTTTTTAAATAAACTATTTCATAAGACACTGTAACAACTAATTATGTTTGAAGGAAAACCCGTTTGATTTACAAGGCCACTATCAATACGTGCTTTAAATCTTTTAATTTATTCCTCATTTACAATAAACAATCAGTCAATCACTAGAACTCGTGAATTTCTTCCTTTTCACAAAAAAAAAAAAAAAAAAAAAAAAAAAAAAAAAAAAAAAAAAAAAAAAACTGTATAACTTTTGCTTGATCATTCGAGAATTTTTTTCTTTTTCAAATAACAATTCTAGAACTTAAATAAACAAATCACTTTCTCGAAACATTACTTCCATTTTACTCACCAAACATCACTAGAACTCTCTCAATTTTTTTTCTCTTTTCCCTCTTATAAAACCAAAACCCAAAACTCCCTTCAAAACAACCAAAAAAAAAAACAACAAAACTCTTACAAATATAGTTACATTCATCTTTGTTTAGTCTAATTCTTTCGTAACAACAACAAAAAGAAGCAAAATGGACGTGAGATTTCCTGGATTCGTCGACAACATCTTCCTTAACAACATCCAAGACATGCTAGATCAATTCACAGATGAAGTATCCGACACCAAGCAACAACCCAACAACCCTTCTCGAGTATACGTACGTGACACCAAGGCCATGGCACGTACCCCAGCCGACATCAAGGACCTACCAAATGCATACCAGTACATTGTCGACATGCCCGGGGTTAAGCCCTCAGAGGTAAAGGTGCAGCTAGAGGATGACCACGTGCTCGTGGTGAGCGGCGAGAGGAGGAGGGACAAAGAGAAGGATGAGAAGGAAGGAGTCAAGTATGTGAAGATGGAAAGGAGGGTTGGGAAGTTTATGAGGAAGTTTGAGTTGCCTGAAAATGCAAATTTGGAGAAAATTAGTGCAGTTTGTCAAGATGGAGTGTTGACTGTTACTGTTGAGAAGGTGCCTCCTCCTAAGCCTAAGTTTCCTAAGACTATTGAAGTTAAGGGTGCTTAATATTACAACGTTTGCAAACACACTATTTTTAACCAAAGTGGTGATTCATATGTAAAGATGTGGGGTTTTGTTTGGTTTGTTTTGATATATACTTTCATAATATTAACTTTGTTACTCTATATATTTTTTAACATTATGTATATAATTTAAAATATCTGTATTTTGGGAAGCTTTTATAACTAATACTAAAAATCAAGTTGCTGATCATAACATAACTAGACACGTCTCATTTCCTCTTCCATTTACAGTATAAGCTTTAGAATTACAAGTATTTATATTACGAGTGAATGTATATTAATTCCTGTTAACGTGCATCACATAGGACTAAGCTAATAAATGTATCCTCCTATTGTAAAAAAAAAAAAAAAAAAAAAGGAAGAAAAAATTAAAAAAAATAAATAAAAAAAAAGGGAAAAAGAAAAGAGAACAAAAATATATTAATGCTTAAACATGTACATTATTGAAAATGATGAAAAATATAGAGCAAGGATAACTTTTTTTGACCCATTCCATTGAAAAAAATTAATAATTTCACATCCACCTATGCAAAAAAGTTAGAATTTGGAAAAGAATGAGGGTATCAAAGATTCAAAGTATCATTTCTACATGAAGCAAAGTTGCAAGGGGTGAGAAGTAGAACTATGCAAGTAATATGTAAAACATATCCTCTCCAAAAGTAGAATATTTAGTGTGGAGGGACACTAAATAAAAGCCAAAAATAAAATGCTTATGTCAAGCTAGGATCAACCATGAAAGAAGTCTCAAAGCCAGCAAAATGACAAGAGCAACAAAGGCAACCAGAGAGGTAACTTCAGAGGTAACAAGAGAGGCCACAATCTAATTCCATGTTATTTATTGCATTAAAATTGTGTTTAACCTATAAATTTACACCTTTACCTAAATAAAAAAATTAATTTTTGGCGGGACCGGTGCCACCCAGGCCCCTTAATAGATCCGCCACTGATTCTCTGAGTTACACTAAGATTGTAATGCATGTTAAATTTAAAATTTATTGTATTAGAAGTTAATAGCAATATAGCATTGGACAATAATCAGTCTGGTATAGAAAATTGGACCCGACCAATCTCAGACCATACTGAAAAGAACCGATTCACTCTCTAAGTCAAAAAATATAGTTTATTTGATTTTAGGCCCACAATCCTATAAAAATTGGTCTTTAACAAAATCAATTTTTTGTTAAACATTATGCATAATAAAACTCTATTATGATTCAATTTCTCCTTTAATGTTGGGAGTATTTATATGCATAGTAATATAACTTATTTATCAAAAAAGGCATTGAACAACTGGATTTTTAAACCATGGTTGGCATTGGGAGTGTTGTAACTTAATCGAGGTCTCAGGTTTGAGACTTGGGAAGGCATCAACATTTGTATGGAGAGTTTTTCCTCTAATTGAGGTAGTTTAAACTCAGACTAGTTGAAATCTACTAGGCTCTAAATTATCAAGTATGATTGCATTACAAAAAAATTGATCCAATCTAGATTTTTATCAGTTTGATTCGGATCCGATTGCCAATTTTATTTTAATTCTGAGTAGGAATTTTGGGCTTGATAATTGTATTTCGGTCCATGGTTCATGGCCTATGGGTCAGTATATTTCCTATCTTTTTCTCTCTTCTTGTTTTTTTGAATCCATCTTTTTCTCCGTTGTACTAGTAACTTCTAAAATTATCTGAAAACTCCATAATTAGTAAACCCCAACTTTAAATTTTGACACCAAATCCATAACATTCTACCACCTTCTCGACACGTTTCAAAAATCAATGCCACGTGAAACTCACACAACAACCAACATTCAAGAACACCCCAGAATCCTCCTCTTCCATTCTCTCTCTAGAAACTTCTCTCTAAATCCTATATAAACTCCCCCTTCAACTCCCGTATCATCAACAAAAATTCACTCAAGCATTTTCACATACACTTTGCAATCACATCAAAAATCTACCAAAAACCCACTTCAAATCCAACCAAAATTCAGCTCCCAAGAAAAAGAAAGATGGATTTCCGGTTCACAGGCTTAGACACACCAATCATCCACGCCCTCTCACACTTCCTCGACGCAGACGACTTCACAACCCCTTCGGCAGCAGACAAATCAACCACAGGATCAACCGCCCCATCAAACGCCTACGTCCGTGACGCGCGTGCGATGGCGCGAACCCCGGCTGACGTCAAAGAGTACCCGAACTCGTACCAGTTCATCATCGACATGCCGGGGTTAAAGAGCGGAGACATAAAAGTTCAGGTGGAAGACGACAACGTGCTGGTGATCAGTGGAGAGAGAAAGAGGGAAGAAGATAAAGATGGGGTCAAGTATTTGAAGATGGAAAGAAGAATTGGGAAATTTATGAGGAAATTTGTGTTGCCTGAAAATGCAAATATGGAGAAGATTAGTGCAGTTTGTCAAGATGGTGTGTTGACTGTTTCTGTTGAGAAGCTGCCTCCTCCTGAACCCAAGAAGCCTAAGACTATTGAGGTTAAGGTTGCTTAATTGTGGATTATCTTCATCATCGTGAATAAACTAATCTTGATTAGTGGTGGTAATAACTTAATAAGTAAGGTTGTTTTTTTTTTTTTTTTTTTTTTTGTGGGGTGAGATTTAGAGATGTGGTGGGGTAGAATTGCCCGTCATTTTCTATGTGTGATGTAATGGATGGGAATGATGATGATGTAATGTTGGAATGAGATTATGAGTAAAATGGAAATGATCTTTTTTCTTTCTCAGTACATTGTCTAATTTTTGTTTTGTTTATACTTTTTTTTCTAACAAAATAAACCTATGATTGCGCACAATATAAATGTTCTTGAGCACTTGTTTCTATTAAGATTATAAACTTGGACAATAAATTCTCCATACCTTAGTACTTCTCTAAGATCATTTTTATCATAATTTTCGTTAAAAGCATTGATTATTGATGTTGATCACATAAAATAAAAGAAAAACTTCATAAGTGCTACCTTAAACCATGACATTAGAAAACGACTTCTTTGTAAATTTTTGTCTCATTAATTGTACAATCCAGTGTAATGGGGGTTATGCATGCTCAAAAAAAGTTGATATTCTCAATTTCTCATGACAGATTTGCTATTTAACTATTTTGAAAAGAGATCTTAATTGCTTATCTTCCAACCGTGAATCTCTAGACAAAAATTTTAGAAGAACTATCAACTATCTACCGCGAACATTAAGACAAAAATTAATTCCTGATGAACTAGCAACTATGTAAGACAAGAGACTAATGGGCCTTAACAATTAGCCGATTTGGATATCCACAATCAATTACATGTGGTAGTTCATAGGAACATGGATTGAAATTAAAGGGAATGGTTCCATCAAAAACGACACTCTCAAGTTGCTTAATTTGTAGAGTGACAAACAGATTCTTCTCCGGGACAACAGCCACCACCATGTGGCGGAGACAACATCAGAGAGAGAAGCCACATCTTTGAGAGCCTAGTGAAAGGCACGGGCATTTCAGGTTTTCGTTTCTTTAGATTTAACTGGTTTGGTCTGCATTCTTCTTGTTTCCTCACAAACAAAGCAATGAAGAAGCCTTCTTTGTCCTCAACAGGATCCATCCGAAGCACGTGTTCAGCTGCCATACAAGAAAAAGGCATTAATCAAACAATAAGCCTCAGGCAATGGTGATGTTTCACCCTGAGACCTCACAGATAGTCAGATATGTATCATCAAGAAACAAGAATAAATGGATAACTTGAAGCAAAATATTACTACTGGTACATGAACTATCTGCCCAAACTAGTTCTATTCCTATGCAAAACATCTCCCAAGCCAAGTCCACTTAAACTCTCATCTCATTTAGGTAAAGTAATACAGATTACAGTACTACAAGTTCTATTCCCATAAGAAAACAAAATTTAGAAGTTTTTAAATAACAGCAAGTCAACAGGTGATAATACATGAGATAGAAAGTACTTCTGTCTTATCAGCACTTACATCCTTCAAAGACTGGCAAACCTCGACGAGACCATTGGGGGAAGGGCGTCGCCAGCTCAAAACCATTCTTTAAAGCAGTGGGTAAGACTGATTTTATAACATCTTCATTTTCAAGTTGGTGGATAGAGCATGTACTGTAAACAATCCTCTCAACTGTTGGGACTGCAAATTAGAGCAAGAACTATTATAAGGTGGATAATATCTTCCCATTATACACAAACTGCTTCTGAAAAACCAATTAGAGCAAGAATTATTATAAGGTGGATAATATCTTCCCATTATACACAAACTGCTTCTGAAAAACCAAGAAGTTACGGGAATAAATTATCCAAGTAGTGATAAACCAAAATGAAGTGATACGTTAGTCTTACAGGATAATGCATGCTTTAGAGCCTTCTTCTGAAAAGCTGAAAGGTTCGTCAGCCGGATTACATCAGACACACCTGCTTTATCTACACAGCAACAATTTCAAAAGATGAGTCAAACAGAAATTGTCCTTTATCCCATTAAATACCATGCTTACAGGCTTCCTGGTTTAGTCATGCTGTTATAGTATTATTAACATACATAGTATTTTTTTCAATTACCAAAATAAACTGACCACACAAATTAACATGATTCATGTCAGTCTGGAATCTGGATGTCAAGCTAGAACGATGATCATGCAGATGTTAAGACAGTGCATTAACACTAGAGCACCACACTAATTGAGGTTATACAAGGATGATGTCGACAATATTATTTATATCTTTGTATGTTCCCTTTGTGTTCATTTCAAGGATTAGAGCAAATGATAACCATGCTTGTAGCTGGCCACGCTTTATAGTATGATGAAAACCAATCAATAAAAGCCTTAATCCCATAAGTGGGGTCGGCTACATGAACCAGTATGATGAAAACTTTTTTTAAAAAATCAGAACCCTGTCCCTCCCAAAATAACATGAAGATACACTAAGTTCACCAATATTAGATTGAACCACATCAGTTGTCAACAATCCAACCCTCTAATCAGCAACCCATCATAAAAGGCAGGTTAAAACTTGAGAGGAGCAGATGGAGAAAAGGGGGAAAGGCTAGGTAAAACTTATTGGGATGATAATGACGTTTGCAGAGGGTTTGGCACCGTTTCCAATGCATTAATAGCATTTACTTCCTCTGCTTTCTTTTAATCACAACGTGATCTTTTTTGACAAGTTGCAAAATAATGCAAAATTACTTTATTTGGCCAATTATTCTCTCTATCTCCCTTTTTATCACATGGATCCCCCTTTTAACTCTCTGTATCTCCCTCCTTAATCTCCATACCCCTCAGTCCCTCACCAATGTTAACCTTGAACTGGCATAGTAACAATTAGGTATGAAGTAATAAAATTCTACAGTGTTTTCTGGCAAGTTAATTTGGATCCAGTATATATAACCACATACATGCCTTCATCATCATTAATTTCAAATAAAATATTTACAAAAAGACAAGGAGCTGAGAGATCTGGAATTTAGAACGATATACAATCAGTGGATATTCCTGGAGACAGAAATTTATCACACTGCTTACAGAGACGGATCGATATGTCATAACCACCTAAGGAGACAATTGCCAAGAATCAGATTGATCCTTAGCAATGCTAAATTAGTACGTTAAAAGTAACAAGAGGATATTAAACAGAAATTAAGAAGATAAGGAAATAAAACAAGATTGAATTGGGGGAAGGAAAAGCAAAGGGATAACACTTTCTCTAGTGACACTGTATTGACTGCTCTCTCTAGTGACACTTTCTCTTTCCACGTATCTGAATGAATCTAACATTGACCCTCTATTTCTATGTTATCACATGACCATTCACTGATTCACGCATCACAGCATTCTTTAACCCAATATTTTATGATTTCCCTTAACACCATTCTGTAGCATTCTCTAATCCAGTAAACTTTGATTTGTCTCCACACCCAACATAATCCATAATTGACTCAAGTGACATTTACAATGTTAGTTATGTTACCCTTCCACCAAGAATAGGCATAGAGACGGGGTTTATGATGATTCGCTGCAACAACTTCAAAGAAAGAAGCAACCAGCTATAAAATGATACCTATTGGACCCTTCAACTTTAAAAGTAAAGCAGTAGCTTATCACAGCTAAATTCAACTAGCATTTCTTCTCTTATGAAAGTATCTATACTACTAGGAGAACGGTACATCACTTTTCTGTAAATAATAAAAAAGGAAAATCAAAAGCCTAATCACTTACTATTCGTATGTGAAGGGAGCAAATGATCCAATCTTTCAGCTGCAGTCCCTGATCCAGAGCAGGAGGGATCCAAGAGTATAGCACGAAGCTGTTACAAGGCATTTAATATACATTAGGGAAGAAACAAAGGAGAGTATTTAGACCTCTAGGTAATAAGAGTACTTAAATTACATAACATGACCAGCATAAGTACCCTTCTGTATGCAACGAAAAATACAAAGAGCTGTTTAAAAGTAATAGTGTGATATATCCAGTTCCTTGGTCTTAAAAGCAAAGATTAATAAGCGTGGAAAGAAAAGAAAAAAAAAAAAAAAGGCTTTCATGATCATGGGAGCTGTAGTAGCAATTCAAATCGTATTTGAGAATCAACAATAAATTCAGGCGAAGAAAACAAGCACAGTTGCCATCAATTTTACGATGGCAGCATCATTACAGATTAAGAAATGCCAATTACTGGTAACATAATTGACCTTTCACCACTACATAACAGAATCACTATTGCAGTAACTAATAACTAAAACATCCAAAAATCACCTTTGAGAAGGCTGGATCCTCTGGGTCTATGTTCAGAAAATTCCCAAGATGAACTTCCACATCTGTTGTCTAGGTCAAGGTTACAAATAACAATAATGTAAAATTAAAGAGAGCAATGCAATGAATTATTGACTTTATCTTTCATATTACACTTTAGATTTTTAAATTGAACAACAATAATCACACACCAACACAAACGTGAGAGACCTAAACAAAAGAACAGCAGCCAACTGTAAGAACAGAGAAAAAAAAAAAAAAAAGGATACTTTTTGCCCCAGCTACGTTGATAGTGTTCTGAAGAAGTTTAACCCGATCTGCATTCAACTCACATGCTACAATCTTTCCCTTGCCTTTCATGAGAGCAGCAAGATGTGCAGTTTTGTTCCCTGGAGCAGAACAAGCATCAAGGACCTTCAAAAAAAGCAAGTAGTTACTACAGAGAGGGGGGGGGGGGTGGAAAAAAAGGAAGACAAGTGCCAAAACACAAAAATTCTGAGCAAGTGTGCATCCAATCTCCAAAATTTTCATTTATTATTACACCCTGCAACGAAATTTTCCACTAGGAATTTTTAAATACATTGGCTACACGCGTTTTAAGTTAAAATATAAACCAAAACAGCATGAAATAAATATTGTACTTGTATAATAAGTTAAGATTTCACTACATATAAGCATTTATTACACCTTTTAAATAATTATTAAAACTTTAAAAAATAACAAATTATATCAGAAAAGAAAGAAATCATAAAGAGTTTCTTCCTATCCAATGCCTTTTCATCTTCTCTCTTCCCACCATTGCCTCTTTCTTATCACACCACAATTATTAACCCTATGCCCCTCTACTTTCTCTACACACATCTTCATATTCATTTCCATAACCATGTGAGTATGTGACTATCCCAGCTCCCTCTTACCACCACAAACTGCCACTCAACGTTCTCTAACCATCATCACCATGCTTTGCCTCTCACCCCACTTAGAACTGCATCTATCTTCCCAATCAGTTAGCTCTGCAGGAACACTGGTATTGTGGTAGATTTGTGGGCTGCAACATTTATATGAAAGGGAAGGAGCAAAATATGGAAGAATATAAAAGAGAGAGAGGTGTCAAAGGGAAAGGGATGATGGTGTTGGAAGAGCTAACATTGGCAAAGAGGGTCTTTTCTACGGGTGAATGGTGGAAGTGGTCAATACTTGTGGCGGGTGGCAGTGTACTTGAAGATGGCAGCTGAGAAGGAAGAGGGGGAGAAAAAGAAGAGGGGGGGGGGGGATTTCATTTTCTTTTTCCCTTCTCTCAACTTCAAAAATGTTTCCCATCACTGAAAGTTAACTCCATTCTCCCCTAGATAATAATCACAAATAAATCAATTCACACTAGGATGTCCACAAAAAATCTTCACGTTTTATGTTGATAACTTTCTTACTCATTCCATGTGAAGTGGACCTCTCCACTAAATCTCTTTCTCTGACACTCTCACCCCCACCCCACTAGATTCCTTAATAGGCGTGCCAAAGCCTAACATGAAGATTTCTCTTTCAAGCCATGTGAATTGGACTTCTCCATTAACTCTCTTTCTCTCACACTCTCACCCCACCCTACAAAATTCCTTAATATGCATGCCCAAGTCTAACAAGAAGATTATTCATGAATGAAGGAGTATAGATTATGCACATAAATCCAACACTTATTCTAAACCCAATTTCTGTCAAAAAATTAACAACAGCTTCAACCTTATTCCTCAAGAACTCCATGTCAGATACTTTCATAAGATTCATTGACAAAGGCAATACAAGAACTTGAGGTTAAATGCATACCACTTGAAAGAATACCTCTACTTCTAATCTCAAAGACAATCTGGATATAAAATTTGTTTGATTATTGCTTCCCCTTAACGTATTTTATCCTCCAAAAGTTTAAATATAGCTCAGTTGTTTATCTTATTGCTACCATATTTGGCTTCTTTTACATTGTTATGGGCTTATTGCACCGCACTCTTCCAAGAACACATCTGATAAAGAATTAAGGAATAGTACACAAATCGACACTAGCAAACATAAAAGTTGCAACGTGTAAAGGTACCTACAAATTTAGCTTATTTTAATCTCTAAAACCTCAATTGGGAGCAAAAGTAAGGCTCTATATACAGCTACTTGTATACTTGGTTATTAAAAATAAAAAAATAAAAAATAAATAAATAAAATAAAATAAAATAAACTATTAGGAAACATTGTGAATTTGTATAAAAACATAAACAAAGTATCCCAAAATACCAATAAAATTTATTACGAGGTTGGTTACACACCTAAAGGAACTAAGGAAGCATTGGAAACAGAGAGGTGTACAAGAGCCGCAGACTTAACAGTAAAGGATTCTGCAGTAAGGGTTTCTAAGATTTAAATTATAAAGCCTTGCAAACTCAACATATTGACAATGTCACAGAGAATGCTGTTAGAAACTCTAATGTAACCTTTCTTTCTCGGTATTACAGTATTACTATCTTATTGAGAACAATTGTGTTTGTATGCAGACATAAGACTGCCTCCTTTTCCACAAGTTAATAATTACAGCACCAGCTCAGTTCATAAGCAGATTTACAGATAGCTAATCAAATTATTAACTAACCTGCCAACCTGGTTGAGGCCCAAGGGCAACTGCTACCATAGAACTTGCCTTACCCTAGCAAATTGTAAAATCAAATAGAAGTTTGTTACTGTCAATTTACTAAGTTATCAACATACTAAAGCAACAAATAAAGATAAGAATGCATACTTGTAGAAAGACACTTCCACTTGTCACTAGTGGGTGATCATGCAAATCAACACCAGGAGGAAGAATCAACAGATCTGGAACTAAGTCATCCTTCTTAACCTATACAATGAACAATTTGGAAGCCACTAACATAAACGTAAAACACCAAAACTATCAAGAACTTAAGGAACAATCAATATGATGTCTCAAAACTTCAAAGGACTGCTTATGCCCAATCCCCCCTTGCCCCCAACCAAAGGAGAGGAAAAAGGATGAAAATAATCTAGAAAACTTACTGTGCATTTCTTTCCAAGTTCTTTGATAGCAGAGTCAACATCCAGTTTCAAAGTATTTACACGGACATATCGAGGTTTTGGAACATCTGAAAAGAAATTTGGTAAGCCTGGTATTCTAAAAGAATCCAATTAGCAGACACTGTAAGAACAGATGAGTGATTACAATACAAAAACTAAAGACTCCACACGTGATATACTGATGTCACATGAATATCTCAGAAGAAAGTATTAGTATAAAGAAGGGTTACTTCTATGATACATGCAACATCTCAGAGCCTAAAACCATCCTTTAGCTATGAAAACATTGGTTCATGTCCTAGAATATAAAGAAGAGTCCACCATTATTGCCAGTATTTAAAAGGGCAAAACAAACCTGGGGTGGTCTTGTCTTGTGATAGCAGGTCTTCAACTCGTTTAACCTTCTTTTTAGCTAGTATCTTTGCCAAAGTAGACTCAAGGACAGCTTTTCGTTGAAATAGAAATTTTTCTGCATCGCCCCATGTTGAAATTTCCTGAACATTTACATTCAGTTTATCAAGAAAAATTTCAGATGAAAGGGGCAAAACTTAAATACAATGGACTCAACTTTGTCCGAGATAAGTTCTCTATCCTACAAATTTCTCTAGGTCAGAGTTTTAACAATGCATGAGACACAGTGAAGAAACAGGGGTTCTAAAGCCTGGAAATAAGGTAAGATGCATGTGCACCTCATAGAGATAAGCCATAAATTCACCAATAATTCACACATGTAAATTTTTCGAATAATCAAATACTGTCATGCATAAATAATAATTACATTAATAAAACATCATAATACATGAATTTGAATTTCCATATAAAACTTGAAGAGACAAAGACGTTACAGGATTCCAGAGGCAACAAATGTTAGAACCCAGACCTGAGGTCTCAGACGAACTTTTTAAAAAGGCAACGCTTTGAGTAAGAAATCATGCCAGATTTTGAAATACTTTAGCCTTTTATGGTCTTCAACCACTCTTTGGTTATAAGCTTACTTGGAAGAACCAAGAACCTACAGCATCTCACAGAATATACTACCAAGAGGTACACATAACACTACTACTAGAGCTCCCAGCTGCATCCCTACCAGGCTACAACATTGGAGCCTGAATCTAGCTATATCAAGCCTTCACACTTTGACTTCCCCTCATCCCTTATAGCAAAAGGTCAATCTTGGTATACTTCATGTCCAATTTGGTTCAAGAAATTATATTTCAAGGAAATGAAAGAGTGATATGATACCGAAACACAAAGTTGAATATTACCTTGCCGAAGAGCAAATCGTAGGTTGTTATGTATATTAGCTCCTCCTGTCTCTAAAACAGAGATAAAAGACCATAATTAATTCAGAAATGACACCTTCCAAATCACTGCCATTAATTATTATGGAATCTTATAAATTCGAAATCGTACTTTAGGCTCATGTTACAGGATCAAGTACGTAAGTTGGTCAAAAAACATGTAATTAAAAGAAACTATTTACCTTCCATTTGCTGTTTAATACAGCAGAAGTATCCAAAACTTCTTTGATAATAGGAAGATCTGAAAGCAATCAAAGCCAAAATGATGTCACTTAACAATCAAATTCATCTACTACTATTCTTTCGGATATCATAATGGGACAATGATCTAAAACTTGTACATTCAACTGTTTGTTGTGTAATCGCAATAAAGCATACAACATGAGACAATCCTACAGCATTAACACAACGGACAATATGATTTCAACATCTCCTAATTCTACCAGTATACACAACAAATTGCATGAACAATCTGTATCAACATTCTCATGCATAACCAACAAGAAAGAAGTAAGAAAAATATTGATATAATTCCCCCGAAAAAACATTTTACAGGGAATACCCCTAAACTGTATCATAATTCAGATTGTGCTTTAATGATTTCATTCATTCACAAACCATGCACTCTAGAATTACAAGATACAGAGTAATTCATAGCTCACGACGTAAAAGTAATGTTTCATAGACTTATATTAACTTCTAGCTTATAAAGCGGCATACAAAGTTAACAAACTATGATGCATGACTCAAAACTAACACCGGCAGTGTCTATTAAATTGCCATTGGTCAAAACATTCATACTTCGCCACACAATGGCATGCCAGCTAACAAAAACTAATGAAAACAACAGCACATGGCACATCACTTGTCAGTGAGCTGTGAATTATGTTCAGCTTACTATAGTAAGGTAGCACATAATTGAAATTATTAACACATTGAAAATCATGTTAAATTTCATGAGTATAAACGGAGAAAACTCCCTCAAATATAAAACTCAAAAACATAAACTTATATCACATTCAATTAGTATATCAAACAAAATTTCCATGCAACAATTGAAGTGAACATCAATATCAACACCTCCAATTTCAAATTAAAATTCACAAGTCCAGGCATAAATTAACAAAAACTAATCCAAAATATTAACAATAAAAAAACTCCAAAATCAGCATTAAGAAAAAGAAAAACAATATAATCAACAAATTAATACTTTGAAACACATACATTTAAGAGTTTGGCAAATGAGAGCAAAAGTAGCCTTCTTATTACGAACAGAAGGTTTAAAAACCAGGGTTTTGATAGAACCAACAGCACGACGATGAGCGTCGCCTTGAAGGATTACTCGTAGGATTTTAGCGGCCTCCCTTCGGCCGAAGTGCGCCGACTTTTCAGCGTTTAGCTGTTTCCGGTCCTTCTTCTCCGGCGGGGTTTTCGGCGGTGGTGGCGTTGTCGACGGCGGTTGCTTGTTGGTTTTGTCGGTGTTGGAGGATTTAAGTTTTTTAAGAGTTTGTTTCTTCCGGCGTACCATTTTTGGTTTTTTCAAGTTTCGGCCTCTGTCACGGCGGGGGTAATGGTAGTGTAGTGAGAGTAATTTCAGTTTGACAAATTTGCCGGGTGGTGTTGTATGCGTTACTAGGTCTATTCGGGTTCGTGTTTTTATTCGGGTTTTTGTTTGTATTCAGATTGGTAATCAAGAAGTAATAGGAATCGTCATAGGGGTAAGCATGGATCAGATACCCAAACCGGTAACATTATCGGTTCAGATAACTGATAAACCATTTACACTAAAAATGATATCCATGAAGTGAATCGATAAGATCGAGTACTGTAGGGAATTTTTCAAATTCAAACTTTTGAGCCCACTATGTTCTTACTTTTAGACATGGCGGCGCTTCAAGGGAAAGAAGCTAGAAATAGAAGAGTCGCCAACAAGTTTTAGGAATTTGTAAATCGTTCACGGGTGCGAAAGTTACACCCCATTCACGATCACGGAGATCGCTAACTGCATTTTGGTCCGGAACCATGACTGGATATTCGGATATGATGGTACGAATCCAACCTAAAAGAGATTGAACCCGCCCCAAATCGACCTCTGCTTAATTCTTATGATATTCATGTGCGCTTTCCGATCAACATACATACATCAAGTTAATCCTAAACATATTTAATCTACGTTGTTTGATTATTAATGCACAAATAAATCTAATATTAATGATCACTTGAATTAAAATCATATTCGCCTTCAATCAAATTATTAATTATCTTATTAGGCGTGATTTCAAGTACAATTTCCCTTTAAACCTGCAAGAAGGGGTGTGATCAAACAGTAACAATAAATAATGAATAATCAAGCAATGTAATAATTGACACAACAATCGTCATCATAATCAAAACATCATTTAAACATGATTAGCAAGATCCTAGGCATAATACTAAACGAATTAATAACAAACCCTAGCATGTCAATAAAAAATCATAATCAAAGCATTAACCTAAACATGATACTAGGAATCAAAATCAACATCCTAACATGATGATAGGAATTTATATAATATTTTAAGCATGATTTCTATCAAAAGAACAATTAAGTAATCGAATTACTTACGTTGATGTTCCTCCCTTCTTGCTATTAAAACAATAAACTCGTTAGTAACTTCAAGAAATATTAAAGCAATAAAGTAAATAAATCAAATATGAATTGAAATATAGATTTGGGACCAAACCCTCAAAACTATCAACCTTTCATGCCGAGGTCGAAGGCAACGTCGAGAAGGGCAAGGAATATTTGAATCTCGCAAAGGAAGTATGGTGTTTGATTGAGGAAAGTATCAAGGATGTATTTAGGCTAGGCTAAGAACATGAAAAAGAGAGAGTATGAGAATATTAGAGAGGGTATTAATGATGATTGTTGGTGATTGAGCTTGTTGATGATTTAAAATGGGGTGATACGACCTCTATTTATAAGGAAAAAAGAGGGTCGAAGGATTAGAAATGAGTCAGAATTCAAATCGGACTTAAACAGGTTCCATCGCAGCGGACAGACTTGTCGCGGCGCGATAGTGCTGTTGCTCAGCGATGGTTTTGGAAAAATATGATTCGTACAGAATCCGATTTCCAATCAGGTTGGGTTAACCAAATTTCCGTACGTATTCTATATATTTTGACCGGGATTAGGATCATCGAAAAACAGATGTTTTATCCGATGTAAAATTCTTAAATCTTTATCTTTTCGAAAACAGGATAAATTAGAACATTCTAGTGGATTCTAGAATCTCACAATAAATCCTAATGGATTTAGGATCGAAAACAACCTTCTAGATGATTCTAGAAACTTGTAATAAATCCTAATTGGTTTAGGAATGAGGTTATGGTTAATGGACCCTCCACATGGTCATTGGGCCGTAGGTAAGGCTTTATTCGGGCTCGGTTTAGTATTTTGGCCATAACTTCTTCGTTATAAGTCAGATTTGGGCTTATAATATATCGTTGGAAAGCTCATTTCAAGCCCATCCAGTTAAACAATAATTGGATTGAGATTATGGAACAAAATAGACTAATTTAGACGGAAAAATTCCGTTGGAAACACCCTGTTTTCCGTCGGAAATCGTAGTTTCTGACAGAATTCCTTCGGAAGGCGGCGTCGTAAAAGTATTTGTAGGAAAAATGACCTTTTTCGACGAAATTTCCGTCTTAGAAAGACGACTTCCGACGGAGTTTTCGACGGAAGTCAAGTTTCGGAAGAGATTTTCCGACACCGGCAAAGTCCGTCGGAAACCACCGAAAAAAATAAAAACAAACCCACACCCAAACCCACCAGCCCACTACCGTACACCACCACCTTAAACCACCTAACCCTAACCTACCAGATCCACAACCTTAACCCACCATCGTACCCCACCAAATCCCAACCCTTGTCACCAAAACACCACCAACACCCCAAATAATACACCACCAACAGACCCAACAACCTAACCAAAACCCCACCCAAACCAAACCGAAACTACCCCAACACATACCCCACCCACACCAAACCGAAACCCCCAACCAAAACCCCACCCACACCAAACCAAAACAACACCAGAATTTTACCAAAAAGAAAAAAAATTCCAAAAAAAAAACCGAAAATTATCATAAAAAATCAACGAAAATTACCCAAATCAATTCAAAGAAATATATAAATATACATAAATTTAACAAAATTTATACATTAACATTACAATGACATCAATAATTAACTAAAATTAGAATTTAAAAGGAAAAAAAGGCCAGATCTACAATATAAGATATATAAAAAACCGTTGTTGGCCGTTGTTGGTGAACTTAGTGTTGGCGTCGTTGAAGGTGTTCGTTGATGGTGTTGCGTTGAGGGTGTTCGTTGATGGTGTTGGTGGCTATGAAAGTGAAAGGGGAGAAGAAAAGAAGAACGACAGAGGAGAAGATGAGGGAGAAGGAGAACGAGAGGAAGATAAGAGAAACAAAAAGTGAGGCAGAAGATGAAATGACAGAGGAGGAGGAGGAGGAGGAGGAGGAGAGAGAATCAATAGAAGGAGAGAGAAAGAGAAATGAATGAAATAAGGGGGATGGGCGGTTGCTTAGGGTTTTAAGGGTGTTATTTTTTTAAAAATAATTACTTTATTTTCCGACGGAATATTCCGTCGGAAACTTCTGACGGATTTCATTTTCGTTGGAAATTTAATGTTCCGACGGAATAATCTGTCGGGAACTTCCGACGGATTGTATTTCCGTTGGAAATGTACTGTTTCGACGAATATTCCGTCGGAAAAGCCTATATTTTCCGACAGATTTATTTCCGTTGGTAAATTTCCAACGGATTTTCTACGGAATAAAATACATGGGAGTTTCTGATTTTTCCGACAAAAATAAGGGTCCGTCGGAAACCGTCCGTCGAAAATCAGCCTATTTCTAGTAGTGGCCGTATGGACAACATTACATGCAACCGGCCCTCTTTGGGGGTCAGGCGGCACAAAACGTCCAACATTTGGACTGGCAGCTCCGTCTGCTTAGATTTGGGGAACAACCTTCTACGTTCTCCAAGGAGATAATCGAGGCAGCACAGCCGGCCGAGGTTAAAAATGTTTTGGTGGGTACTTATGATGGTACCACCAACCCTGTAGACCACCCCATGGCCTACACCAACCTCATGTACTTGTAGGGGTTGGATGACGCACCTGGTGCCGATGCTTCCCGGCCACATTCAAGGGCATCGCCCAACAATGGTTCAGCAATTTGCCAGCCGGCTGCATCAACAGCTTTAAAATGCTTGCGTTCTTGTTTGCTTCTAACTTCTCTATGAATATCCTTGCTAAGAAAACAAGTCTTGGCTTGGGTGTAGTGCAGAAGAGGGATAAAGAAGGGCTTCGATCATACGTCAGGCGATTCAATCTGGTGAGAATCCAGATTCAAGGGCTGTATGACGATGTGGCTTATACAGACTTCTTCAAGGGTCTGAAGGACGGGTCAAATTTTAAGTTTGACCTCGTCAGAAAGAGGGTTTCCACCCTCCAGAAATCGCTGATGGAGGCGGAAGCCTATGTATAGGCGACCGAGCTCTGCTCCATCAGCAAGCAATCGGACTTCAAGAAGTCTGACAAAAAAGAGAGTCGGCAAGCTCAGCCGGCTAAGAAAGTTGAAGAGAGTAAGAAGAGAAAAGAGATCTGGGCGGTTGACGACTCTGATCAGCCGTCCCAGAAGAAAAAGAAAGAGTTTAAACCATACGTCCCAAAGTACAAGTTTAACAAAGACTGCTACTCCATCCTCATGGAGATAAAAGATTAGGTGACCATAGAGAAGCCCGCTGTTATGAAAGGTTCCGCCAAAGGCCGGAACAAAAACAGGTACTGCGATTTCCATGAGGATATTGGCCACGACACCAACGACTGCTATAGTCTCAAGCGACTGTTGGACCGTCTGGATGATAAGGGGTGTTAAAGTCTTACATCCTGAAGTCTAAGGTGACTCCGAGGACAAACCCCAGGCAGTCGTCCACAAAGGATGCCCAACCTGCTAGTAGCTCAGACACTGACTAAGAGCCAATCTACACAATAGCAGGCGGCTTTGCTGAAGGGGGCCCAACCATCAGGGGCACCAAGGACCATGTCGGATGGCTGGACGTCAGTTTAGTTCATAAGGTTCAAGCGTCTACTGACGCTTTTCTTGAGGTCATCATCACTAAAAAGGACAGGGGCAAGGTCCACCGACCGCATGATAACCCCATTGTCATTGAATGCAAAGTGGCCAACCAGAAGGTCGGTCGGATCCTCATTGACACTGGAAGCTCGTCTGACATCATCAGCTACAAGTGCTTGTCAAAGCTGAAATACAAGGTTGGCAACCTGCACAAGGTTTCTCACCCCTTGGTTGGTTTTGGGGGTGGGGTTGTGCACCCAGTCAAACGGATTGACCTACCCATCTGGCTGGGGGAGAAAGGAGAGGGACGCTACATGGTTGTTCAGGTCTTGGTCGTAGAAGAGCTGACTACCTATAATCTGATATTGGCTCGTCCGAATCTGAACGAATCCAAGGCCGTCATTATTCCATCCCTCATGCTGTTGAAATTTGAGAAAGATATATAATGGGTTTGTTGGCTCCTTAAACAGGGATCAAAAGACGGCTAGAGAATGCTACCTTTCAGACGTCAAGTCCACGGTGGCCGCAGTCGACCAGTGTGAGGATCCAATAGACCTTGATGATATCAAGGAAGCCGAGCCTGCTCCAACAACAGCCAGCAAGAAGAGAGATTAGTCGACCAGTTGGTGGCCACGAAAAAAGAGAAACAATAGCAATCACTGATTGGGGAACGGTCGGATGAACTTCATCCCCAGCCGGCTGGTGAACACATTGATATTGCTCTGGACGACACACGTCCAGAGCGTACTGTTAAGGTGGGGACGATTGCTTTTGCAAAGTTGGGTGCAAACTTGCACAATTTGTTAAAGAAATTCAAAGATAACTTTTCCTTTGAAGTCGAAGAGATGTCAGGCATCAGCCTGGATCTAGATGTCCACAAGCTCGCCGTGGATCCCAAAAAGAAGTTGGTTAGGCAAAAGTAAAGAAACCACGTTGAGGAGATAAGTCAGGCGGCAGCTGCCGAAGTGAAAAAGCTGTTAGACGCCGGATTCATTCGGCAGTGTCACTTCCCAGATTGGGTTGCGAACGTTGTGCTTGTAAAGAAGCTGAATGGTACCTGGCGCATGTGTGTTGATTACACTGACTTGAACAAGGCATGTCCGAAGGATAGTTATCCACTTCCAAAGATCGACAGTCTGGTCGACTCTACAGCCGGACATGCTATGATGAGCTTTATGGACGCCTACTCAGGCTTTCACCAGATACCCATGTGGAAAAAAGATCAAGAGAAGACGACATTCGTCACTGATCAGGGGTTATTCTGCTATACTGTGATACCATTTGGCTTAAAAAATGCGCCTGCTACTTTCCAACAAATGATTAATATAGTCCTCATTAATCAAATTGGGAGAAATGTAGAGGCGTACATTGATGACATGATAGTCAAATCCAAGCTACAGACGGATCACCTTGTTGACCTCCGAGAGACCTTCACCACACTCAGGCGGCAGAAGGTCATGCTCAATCCCAAGCATTATGTCTTTGGTGTTGAGTCTGGGAAGTTTCTCGGATTTTTAATTGATCAAAGGGGGATAGAGGCCAATCTAGATAAGATACAGGCGGTCATTGACATGAAGTCACCCCGCACTATCAAAGAAGCTCAGAAGTTAATAGGTTGTCTGGCAGCATTGGGGATATTTTTCAGCCGATCAAGTGACAAGTGCCTCTATTTCTTCCAAGCTATCAAAAAGAAGACTAGGTTTGAATGGGGGGATGATGCTGAGGCAGCCTTTCAGAAGTTGAAAGAACACTTGCACTCTTTGCCAAGGCTTGTTAGTCCTCTGCCCAAAGAAACGTTTTACATGTATTTAGCCGTCTCAGATCATGCCCTTAATGGCATCCAGCTCCCGATCTATTTCATCAGCCATGTTCTTCGAAATGCTGAACTATGGTACCCAATGGTTTAAAAATTTGACATGGCTCTTTTCATGGCAACCAAGAAGTAGAAGCCTTACTTTTTGGCACATCCGGTTGCGGTCTACAAAGACCAACCCCTCAAGCGGCCAATGACAACCTTGGAGTCATCCGGTAGGATGCTCAAATGGGCTATTGAGATGCAAAGTCTTGAAACCTCTTTCGAACCAAGGAAGGCATTGAAGGGACATGCGTTTGCCGACATCATTGTCTAAATGACAAGGCCAGCTGAGTCGGAGAATCTTGACCATGTTCGGAAAGTGTATGTAGACGGGAGCTCTACTATGAACGGTTGTGGTGCAGGGGTTATATGTCAGTCCCCTAAAGAAGACAAGTATGAATATGCACTACAGTTCAAGTTTCAAGCCTCAAATAACGAGGGGGAATATGAAGCCCTGCTAGCTGGTATCCGCAAGTGCAAGGCAGCAGGGGCAAGAAAAATTGACGCCTGCTCTGATTCACAATTGGTTGTTAGCCAGTACCATGGTGACTATGAGGCCACCCATTCGACCATGTTAAAATATTTGTAGGCAATCAAAGCTGAAGCAACACTAGTAGAAAAAATGAAAGAGGCACACCCCCTTTAGCACCGGTTCTTGAAAATCGGTGCCAAAATAAATGGGCGGGATTGAAAAAATCAGTTTTGGCACCTGTTCCAACCAAAATCGGTGCCAATCATTTAATTAGCACCGGTTCAAACCGGTGCCAACTTATTAAAAAAAAACCGGGCTCCAGCTTTTCTTTCTTTCCCCCCCCCTTTTTTCCATCTTCTGTTTTCCCTAGCTCTTGTTTTTGCCTTCTCTTACTTCCACCATCCCGAATTTTCACCTTCTCCATTGAAGTGGTTTACGAGCTTTCTCACTCCATTGAAGCAGCACCTCCTTCTCTCTCCATATCTCTGGCCTCCATTGAACTCGTGCTCTATATTCTCCATTGAAGCCGATTCTGAGCTTCCTCACCTCCATTGAAGCAGCTTCGAGGTAATACGGTCTTCTTAATCTACTGAATTCCTTTGCAATCTAGGGTTTGTCGTTGATTTGGTTTTCAATTTCATAATTTTAGGGTTCTGGTTTTATTTCTATTTTTTGTCGAACAAAATAAGTAGGAGAAGGAGATAGTAGGTCCTACTTACCACCACTCACCCTTCGTCGGCCACCCTCCGTTCCCCTCAGTCGTCCTTCGTGCATCGGCCACCGACCACCAGGTAATGGTTTTTCCTTTTTTTCGTTTTTAAAAAAACATTGCCTAACCCTTAGCAATGTTTATGTAGATTTCATGAATTTGTATAAGAGGTACCAATAACATGCACTGAAGAAGATTTAATGTTTTTTTTGGATTTATGTAAATGTAGGTTGTTTAAGAAAGTAGATATGGTTGCTCTCATATGATATACTCAATTACATTCTGGGTTCTTTCCGACTTTTGATTTTTCTGGGATTGTTGTTGAATTCTTCTTGATTCGATCATTTTATCCAATTTTGCACCAAATTTGATAAATTTTGAAGAGGGGTTTGATTATTTAATTCCGGGTATATATTTAGCTGGATTGCAATTGATTGGATCTGGATTAGGCCTGGGTTTCATTGAAATTAATCGTTTTGGATCCGATTTTGGGGAAAACAGCGCCATCCCATGGCGTTGTTTCGTCGATTCTTTTATTGGAAGCCACCTGATCGGCTTCTTGAAATTTCAGAGCAAGTTTTAGGTTAATTTTATGAATTTAATGTTGGTTCATTATTTGTGCAATTGGTTATAAATTTCTGGGTTTGTTTGAATTATGGGTTTTGTTTAATGGGTTGGTTTTGATTTTTTGTTATAATGTGTGTAAGTGTTGAATTTTGTTGATCATTGAGCTTGAAGTGCTTCAATTTATGCTGAGTTTAATGCAATATGTGGGGTTGTATTTTCAATTAGGTCCCTTTCAACAACCTAAGAAGAAAAGACAAGGTAATTTGTTATGAGTTCTGTTCTGTTTTCTAATTATGGTTCTGTTTTCTAGCTGATTTGTGCAATGTATTTTCAATTAGGTCCTTTTCGTGATCCAAGTAGAGCACTCAAGTATAAAAAGTTGTGAAGCATTCAACCCGAAAAGCTCAAGGTTAATATTCCTCCAACATTAGGAGTTGTTGTGGGTGAGCGTGCAAATCAACTTGTTGTTGAGTGTGCTGATTGGGTGAAGGAGATTTGCCCCCTTAATGTTCCTAAATGGAGTGATATGCCTGAAGGGATTTTAGATCGATTATATGCAAGGATTAAGGTATATAATCTAGCAAATCACTCTTTCGATAAAATTGATATGCATACACAATAGAAAACAGAAAGTCAGAAAGGTTTTGTCTTGAATATGAATTAACTCGACTTGCCACAAAATCCAAAAGCTAGAATATGCTGAATAGAATGTTGCCTTGTCGAAGTATATGCTTATTTTCTGGTCTTTTGAAATTACTACTATTGTTTGTTTTTTGGAAGTTCCATGTTTATTCTTCCCCTTGCTGCTTCGTACCAATAAATGCCTTGTATATACAATAACTACCATATTCTAAAGCTAATCTGGCTAAAGCTAATCTGGCTCATGTCCTGGCATGTAGGTGCCGATAAATATTCATACTGAGGAGTGTTACTCTATGTTTGGTCTTTGCTACTCATTGGTGGATTGGTCTTTGCTACTCATTGGTGGATGATTTTTGGTTATTGCAATAACCCAGTAGATGTATTATTAATATTACAAAGGTCGGTTTGCTGTTTGTTTTCATCAATAATGAATTATTTGTTATTTGATTATTCCCATCATGTGTGTTGATGTTTGTTTTTATTATTTGTTTTTGGTGGATCACCGTTCTGTAAGATTGCTCAGTTTTGTTTTCCTTGTAGGTGTGTCAATATCTGAAGTCATGGTCCCAACGGCATATGTTGCTAAAAATGAGCGTGAATACTGGTAAGCTGTTTGCATTATGACTATTTCAGTCCAAGAAGGATTTAACCCGGGTATTGTGGCGATGCTAAGGTTGGGTATGGTGATGAGTTTGATGATGATGAGGTAAAGGATGTCTCTTGATAATTTTTCTGCATTTTCATGATAATTTGACCCTAATTATATGTACCGCACAAAGTATTATCTGAGCTCAAATTTATCAAGTGTTTGTTGATGGAGGATTGTGTGTTGCTTATTGATAAATTGTTGCCAGCAACTGTGATTTGTTGCTGGCCAGGGGATGTATGATTGTGATATGTTGTTGTTGCAATTGACGTTGGTGTGTGGCATGAGTTTCTTGGATTATGTGATATTACTCTGTGGCCTTAGATTGTAATTCATTTTGTGAATTCTTTGTGTTGATCGTTTGAATGGTTGTGATTGTTTGATTGTAATTCATTAATGATGCATCTATATGCTTAGCCAAAGCTGCATTCCATGCAAGCCCTAACTATGTATTACGTCTGGTACCTTTTTGCCCTTTCGTAAGGCATATGTAAGGTTAAAGCTTTCTTAGTCCATTTAGCTGACACACAAAGGTGTGTGTTGTCTGTTCATGCTATCTCACACTACCCTAAGCTATTATAGTTGAAATCCCTACTCTGAGAGGAATTGCATTGGGAGGAACCTAGAAGGTGGAAAGATCCAGGGTAGGCCAGTTGATTTTATTGGTCTTTCCCTTAAACCATAGACTTTCATTATAGCAGGCATTGCCATAGTTCTTTTAAACTAGGGTTAGTTTACTACCGCAACCCTCTTGCTTTTACTTTTGCTTTTGCTTCCTCATTATTTCTGTATTTTTTGGTTTTACATTTGAATTTTTCCAGCTTAATGTGATATTGAAATACCGTTTGGCCATGGGGACTGGATATAGAGATTTCTCAGGCCCTCTGGATAGTTCATTCAGTCCCTGTTGAAAATAATGACACCACTGGAGTTTTAAGATGACACAATTTAACAATTGATCTTCCATTACAGCATGTGTGAGAAACATACCATTAACAGTGTTTCTAAAAAGGAATGGATTCACATGAAGTGAACACATAGTCACTGTTTACAACATTAGTATAACATGATAATAAGCACATGGAAACCCAATTAATATTTCCTTACCAAAAAAAAACTGCAAGGAAATTCCTATAAATGTTCCATGTGAAAATCAACAACTAAGTAGCTTCTATGGAAACTTAGCACCTAATTTATGGATGTGTAGTCGGTCACATCACATTACAGTTGTGGTTACTAGCTTACTACTTGGAAAAACCAGGAATGGGAAAAGGTATGGCACTTAAGAGAGCCTGACATATATATTTTAGAGATTTAGGGATAAAATTGGTTAGGGGATAAATGAGTCAATTTCAGATTCAAACGAATAAATTAATGTCCAAAAGCTCCTACCATCGCAACAAATGACCAACACTAAAAAATATTGGGGATAAATGGACTTTTTTTATTAATAGTATTGAACTTTAGAATTAGAGACCAGATAGGGCTCTTCATAGTTTCTCCTCACATGTAATGCTCACAAATGATAAGACGGACATCTACTTATTTGTGCATTGTCTGTTTGGTAAATTTTTTTTAAATGAGCTCTTTGAGGTTATGGAGTGCGTAAACCCAACATTTGTTGATGAAATTTCTATTATTTTAAGTCCTTGTGCGTATATATGATGGTTGACTTGTATCCTTTATGCGCTCTATAGTTGGAAATCTTTTTCTTTGCGTGTGTATCGTTGGGACTGTAAGATTTTTCCTCTCCAACCTAGCTAGTTGGTTAATTTGTCTGGTTTAAATTTCGAGTCTTTTGACTGGAACTCCCATACAATCATTCAAAAAAAAATAGTAGTTACAAGTTGAGGCGAGCTTGTTAATCTAGTATATCACTTAAGCTAACTAAACTCTGAAACTTATCCTACTTATGTGTGACTACCTTGTGTTTGTGATTCTATTTGTAACTCAATTATGCTATATTGCTATATCATTATTAAAAGGAACTAGGATTTTTTGTTAACTTTCACACAGCTGGTAGAGTTTAATCAATTCCAACAGTGTCTGATGTGCTAATTCTATGTCAAATTGGTTCTCTTAATGCCTTAATGTAATTAAGCAATTGCTAATTTATTTGGGTTTTTTTTAAAAAAAAAATCCTTTTCAGATAATGCATTGACATTAAAAAGTACCGCAAATGAAGGTTGAACTAGATATTGGATAGGGGTCGCGCAAACGCACGCCCCCTCTATCACAAATTATGATGTACACTCTTCCTCTTGGGAAGTTGTTAAGCAGGCACCCCCTCCTCCTAATGTGCAATGGAGACCACCCGCCTAGGCCATGAGTCTTCTAGGTCACCCATTGACCCCGTCCAAGTAAGTAATTTGTATGTTCACAATCAGTTTTATTATATAGTCATCTTTCTCGTACGCCCCTTGTTAATTAATTGATGTGGGACAGTATGACCTTACAAAACTGACTTTCATAAATATACTAGTGTTGTCTGGTTGTTATCTAGATTTTCCCTGGTTTCCCTTTCATTCACTAGTGTATTCCTCGTGTTGAAATTGTGTCCAAATCACTGCAACCTTTTCACGTTTATCCACTTTTTCGAATTTTAAGTCCTCTATTGCAAGCTTCACTGAATGAATTTTCCTGGTAAATGGCTTCTGGAATTCTAAATAACCAGCACCACACTCATGGAACCATTTGCCTTCACAACACTGCTCGTTATTGTTGACGGTTACTGTGTACAAGTTCTGCTTTGTACTCATTAGTCACTTCTTGCTTCTTCTGCTGTGCAGGACTTGGTTTGTTTCTTCTGGCTATTTGTATGATTTATGCAGGTAGTTGGAATTATGTAATGGGGGGGGGGGGTAGAATCTTGTGCTGGGTGAGAACTACACTGACGAGAAATTTTTGTACATCATTCTAATTGCATTTCTTTATTTATTAGGTGTAATGATCATGGAGAACCACTCCCTCCTGATGATCAAAAATATGTTATTGACAAAATGTGCTGAACTACCATCCTGATAAACGGCTAAAATTGGGGCTGAAGTTGATTTTATTATGCTAAGCTATACATAGCTCTTGCTATTGAAATCCTTTTTTATTTTTTTAATGAAATCTAAATAACTTCTAAAATCTTTTCATATTGCTATATGCAGGTTAAAAAGCATAGCAACTTCTAAGAAAGTCGTTGCTTTTATGTCGTTTTAATGGATGGGCATAATGTGGACTTCTCATACATCAAGTGCTTGGAGACTTATGGTAAGGGAAAGTACCAATCAATTGCTGAGTCCTTCATATCCAAGTATTTTAGAAGGCCTCGTTCGGGAGGTAATCCCTCACCTGCAAGTCCCTCGCCTGCAAGCCCCCCACCACCAAGTCTAAAAGTAGATTGAAATTAGTTAAAGTAATTAAGATAATTCTAATAGTAGATTGCAATTAGTTAAATTAGATAAGATATTTCTAAAAATAGACTGAAACGAGATCCACCTTCTCTGCTTCCAGTTTAGGTTCAGTTATAAGAAATTTTGGTGCTTTTGGGTTAAATTCTCACTCTTCTTTAATGTCCACATCAGCTTGCTGCATCTCAAAAATCTTTTTAATTTGTTGCAGCTGTCCAAGAGCTCTAGTTGCTATCAAATCCTCTTTCATGGGAAATGTGTTTTCTGGCCTCTTGTATATTGATTCTGATGATGACAGGTGCAATTGCTGATGTTCCCTGTGGTATTGGTCTGATCTTATGTCTTGGACTTGTTGATGCTTTTTGCATATACCCGATTGTGTATAACGTGTTTGGAAATTGTTTTTATGTGTTTATTGTCACATCCTCATGATATTCTCCATTGTCCAACCCACCATATGTCCCTATGAACTCAGTTATAGTAATTGTAACATCAAACTTGTGAGGGTACAAATTGATTCCAGCAGCCTTTTGTGCATCCAGGAAATTCACCTTGTTCTCGTAGTATACAACGGGAAAGGAAACAGAGAGACTTATAAAATCAAGCTGCCTAGATGTCTAGATACCAATTTGGCTCTATGCTAAAGCTTTTATATTTCCCCATTTCTATCACATCTACCAAGAATTCCTTGAACTACAGGCCCTGACTTCTGTAGTGTTTGCCTTGCTGGTCATTGGATTTTAATTAAGGCACTAATATCTCTTGCATGCGCTCTGTCTTACTAGTAAACCAGAGTTATTTGTTCTTGTATTGTGATGAAATTGCTTCGTGTTCACAGGATCAAGAAGGCAAGGAAGCTACTACTGTAGACGAGACTTTTCTTAGAGCTCTGGAATACGGGCTTCCTCCATTTGCAGGTTGGGGGCTAGGCGTGGACAGACTTGTCATGCTGCTTACCGGCTCAAAGAACATAAAAGAGGTTATCTTGTTCCCTCTCTCGAACAAACACTACAAGAATAGGCCGATTTTCGACGGACTGTTTCCGACGGACACATAATTCCGTCGGAAACACCGGGAATTCCGACGGAATTAATTTCCCTCGAAAACTTCTAACGGATTTTCGACGGAAAAAATTCCTTTGGAATATATGGTACTTCCGACGGAATATTCCATCGGAAACTTAACTTTCCGGCGGAATTAAAATCCGTCGGAAATACCATATATTCCGACGGATTAAAAATCCGTCGGAATATTCCGACGGAATATTCCGTCGGAATCTAATTTAAAAAAAAAATGAAACCCTAATCCTCTTCACCGCCTCTTGATTCTCCTTCTTCCCTTCTCTTTCTCTCTCCTCTCCTATTCTCTTCTCCTTCCTCTCTTCTCTTTCCTCTTCTCCCTCCTCATCCTCCTTCTCCCTCCCCTATCTCTTCTCTGTTCGCTCCTTCTCACCCAAACCGACACCAACTACAACAACAACTCCTTCTCCCTCCACCACCGACGTCCTCTCGTTTTCCTTCTCACCCAAGAACCACCACCACCGACACCACCAACAACAACTTGATCTCCCTCCTCGTCGTCCTTCTCACCCAAAACCACAAATATTGACCCTAATAACACAACAAATTTGCAAAAAAACAAAGGTTTAATGTCAAAATTCGACCATGAAAACTCTAGATCTAGAGTTTTCTCGGTCGAATTTGACCTTATAAACCCAATTTCGGCGTTTTTTTTGTCAAATTAAGGTATGTTTCTCTTTTTTTTCTTCTTAATTTTGATTTTAATTAAGTTGTTGATTTTTCTGATTTTTTGGAAATATATGTTGGTGAATTATGGATTTTTTTTTATGTTTGTTTTTGTGTTTTCGGTGGTTGTTTTGGGTGGTGAGGTGGGTTTCGGTGGTGGTGAGGTGGGTTTTGGTGGTGGTGAGGTGGGTTTCGGTGGTTAGGTGGGTTGCGATTTGGTTGTGTACGGTAGTGGGTTTGGATGTGGGTTGGTGGTGGTGTGTGAAGGTGGGATAGGTGGTGGTGTACGGTGGTGGGCTAGTGGGTTTGGGTGTGGGTGGTTTCGGTGGTGTTGTGTGGTGGTGCGTGAGGGTGGTAGGGGTGGTGCGTGAGGGTGGTTAGGGGGCAGGGGGCAGGGGCAGGGGCAGGGGGCAGAGGGTAAGGGGTAGCGGGCAGGGGCTGGGGCTGGGGCAGGGGGTAGGGGGCAGGGGCCAGGGGTTGGTAGGGGTGGTGCGTGAGGGTGGTTAGGGGGCAGGTGCAAGGGACAGAGGGTGGGGTGGGCTGCTCTGTTTTTTTTTTATTAACTTTTCCGATGGAATTTTCCGTCGGAATATATCATTTCCGACTGAAAATTCCATCGGAATGTACCTCTTCCGACGGAAAATTCCGTCGGAAACCTACCCACCTCCGATGGAAATTTCCGTCGAAAATTTGCGACGGAATTTCAAACAAAGTCAAAAACAGCGCCGACAGAATTAGATCCGTCGGAAAATCCGTCGGAATAACGCCTCCGTCGAATTTCCGACAAAGGCTGTTACGACAGACTAACTCCGACGGAATTCCGTCGGAAAGCCTGATTCCGACGGAATTTGCTATGTTTCCGACGGAATTTTTCCGTCGGAATCCAACTGTTTTCTTGTAGTGAAAAAGCGAAAGAGGGGAGACAAGATAGCTCATTAGGAAAATTGAGATGCAATAGCAATCAAGACAGTGGGCTAGTGTTTTTTTTTTTTTTAAGTTTTTTAAAGTGTAATATTACAAGTTATTGAAGAAAATATATGTGTTTTATGTATATTATGATTATATATAAGTATTTGGTACAATTTAAGTGAAAAAAATGCAAAAAAAATAAATAAAATAAAATAATTTTTTGGGCATTTTTGGCACCGGTTCTTATTTTTGGAAAAGAACCGGTGCCAAAAGTTTTTTTTAATTTTTTTGGGGACTTTTGGCACCGATTCTAAGTCAAAATCGATGCCTAAAGAGGGGTTTTTCGCACCGGTTCCTGCTATGAACCGGTGCCAATAGTATTGAAAATGAAAAAAAAAAATCGCGACATGGTAGTTGGCACCGGTCACCGCTTAACCGGTGCCAAAGCATGTAGTTGGCACCGAATAACTGGTGCCAAATCATGTAGTTAGCACCGGTTAACCGGTGCTAAATGCTTTAGTTGGCACCAATTTGAACCGGTGCCAAATTTTCATGGATCTGACATCCCTCAAATCCCCAACGATTCAAAATCGGTGCCAAAGGGGGGGTTTGAATCGGTGCCTTTTTACCTTTTTTGTCTAGTGCAGGCACACTAATCAATTTCACTTAAGTCAGGTGCCCAAATCAGAGAAAAATCAAGCGGATGCTCTATCTAAATTGGCTTCATCCGCCTCATGTGATACGCCTCGATCAATTTTCTGGGAAGTAATGGAAAAGCGAAGTATTGAAGAAGATCCCATTGGGGTACTGAATTGAAGCTCAACCTGGATGGATGGCATCCGGGCCTATCTGCTAGACGGCACTCTACTGGATACATATCCAGAGATGGCCACCATGAAGAAACGTGCGGCCAACTTTGAGATCCGAAATGGAGAACTCTTCAAGAAGGGTTTTCTAAGCCTCTGTTGAAGTATGTCACCCCTGAAAAGGGGTAAGAAATTCTAGAGGAATTGCATTCGGGCTACTGCGCCTCTCACATAGGCGACAAGGCACTAGCGGGTAGGGCCAAGCGGCAAGGTTACTTTTGGCCCACTCTTGAGGAAGACGCCATGGAGATGGTGAAGAAGTGTAATAAGTGTCAAAGATTTGGCAAACTCATACACCGTCAGGCCACTTATCTAACGGCCATCCATAGCCCAGTACCGTTCACCAAATGGGGCAAGGACATTCTGGGTCCATATACGCCTGCACCAGGCGGACGGCGCTATATTCTAGTTGCCATTGATTACTTCACCAAGTGGGTAGAAGCCGAGGCGGTCAAAGGCATTAAGACAACAGATGTTATCTCCTTCATCTAGAAAAATATCATCAGCCGGTTTGGGGTACCTATGCCTATGGTCTTTGACAATGGCCCTCAATTTAAGACGCCTACCCTCAAGAATTGGTTGGGAGACCAAGGGGTCTCTCATTGCTTTGCATCAGTCGACCGTCCCCAAGAAAACGGCCAGGTAGAAGCCTTCAACAAGCTAATCTCATACGTCATTAAAAAGAAAATTGAAAGAGCTGGTGGTCTATGGGAAGATGAGTTGCCTCATGTCCTTTGGGCCATCAAAACAACAGCAAAAGGGGCAACCGGTGAAACCCCATTTCTCATGGCATACGACGCAGAAGTTGTCTTGCCCATTGAACACTATGAGCCGACTCTTCGAGTCATGCTGTATGACGAAGAGGTTAATTGGGAAGCCATGTGGCTAGCACTGTACACACTCCTGGAATGCAGGGGCAATGCCGCCCTGCGTCATGAGGTTTACCGTCTAAGAATGACAAGAGCCTAAAACAAAAGAGTACACAAGCGACCCTTGAAAGTTGAGGCTTTGTGTTACGGAAAATGGAGGCAACCGGTATGGCCAATGAGCAAGGAAAGTTGACTCCCAATTGGGAAGGCCCCTACCGGATTTATGAAGAAGTGAGAGGCGGCACCTACCGCCTAGAAACTCCAAACTATAGGCAGCTAGCCAGAACTTGGAATGTAGATTACTTAAAAAAGTACTACTTATAAGACTTGTAAACTTTTGTAAATAAAAAACTTATCAATGAAAAAGTTGCTTTTTATTTTCAGCTATAATGCTTCAACTATATACATCTCCTGATAGGCGGTCGCACACCTAGCAAAAATAACCTAACTATTCCTCCTAATTATGTAGCAGGGTAAGTACGGATCGAATCCCAAGAGACTAAGGTTCACTTAAATTATCTAGACTCAAATAATCACTAAGCAACAGACAAATCAATGGTGGAATAAACTAGGAACTACTATACGAAAAACTAGAATTAATCAAAGGAATATAATGAATCAATAAACTAAAACATCCAAGATCAAGTATCACCACAATTACGATCGATGCAATTATCTATCTACCCCTAGTATACAAATCCAATTAACACGGGGAAAAGCAAACCCTAATCAATACCAAGGACCTCTCTCGAGTATCAATGGCTTCCCTAACCACAATCAAGCCTATTCTCATGGAATCATGCAAATTAGAGACATTAAACACTTTGCTTCACTTCCCAATTATCAATTCAACTACTCTCGTGATGAATTTCAAACCCTAAAATTGATCTACTCAAATCCGTTAAAACCCAACTCTTGTTGTGATT